TCTAAGGTTTTTGGGGCCAAGTACAAGAATTTCATTTTTTTCTGAGTTTAACATCAGAAAATTGCAGCTCATCCAGGATTTTATGTCCTTAAGACATGTTTGTATAGATAGATCGATAGATATAACTGCGTATCATCTGCATAACAGTGAAAGTTAATGGAGTGATTCCTAATAATGTTGCCTAAAGGGAGCATATATAGAGTAAATAGTATTGGTCCAAGTACAGAACCTTGTGGAACTCCATGACTAACTGTAGTATTTATTGAAGATTCATCGTTAACGTGTACAAACTGCAAACGATCTGATAAATATGACTTAAACCAGCTTAGTGCGGTTCCTTTAATGCCAATTTGATGCTCAAGTCTCTGTAAAAGAATATCATGGTCCATGGTGTCAAATGCAGCACTAAGATCTAATAATACAAGTACAGAGACAAGTCCATTGTCAGAAGCAATCAGAAGGTCATTATTAACTTTAACCAGAGCTGTCTCTGTGCTGTGATGAACTCTAAATCCTGACTGAAAATCATCAAATAAACTATTGTTATGTAGAAAGTCACACAACTCTTTGGCGACTAATTTCTCCAGAATCTTAGAGAGGAAGGGGAGGTTAGAGATTGGTCTATAGTTGGCTAAAACCCCTGGGTCAAGAGTGGGCTTTTTAAGAAGGGGTTTAATTACAGCTACTTTAAAGGACTGTGGTACATATCCTGATAATAAAGAAAGATTAATCATATCCAGTAAAGAAGTGCCAATTAAGGGAACAACTTCTTTAAGCAGCCTAGTTGGGATCGGGTCTAACAGACAGGTTGATGGCTTCGATGAAGAAATTATTGAAGTTAACTGATGAAGATCGATAGCAGAAAAACAGTCTAAATATATATCTAAGTTTACATTAGCAAAAGTCCCTGAACTTGGAGAGCCACTGATAACTGTTGATGGCAGTTGGTGATTCATTTTCTCTCTAATAGTAATAATTCTATTATAGAAGAAACTCATAAAGTCATTGCTATTTAGGTTTATGGGGATATGTGGCTCAATAGAGCTGTGGCTCTCTGTCAGCCTGGCTACAGTGCTGAAGAGGAACCTAGGGTTATTCTTATTTTCTTCTGTTAGTGCTGAGTAATAGGCTCCTCTGGCATTACGGAGGGCCTTTCTATAAGTTTTAAGATTATCATGCCAAATTGAGCAATATTCTGATAATTTGGAAGAGCGCCATTTCCTTTCAGATTTCCTAGCTATTTGCTTTAACTGGCGGGTTTAGTGGTTGTACCACGGTGCTATTCTCCTATGTTTTAATAATTTCCTTTTTATAGGAGTGATAGAGTCTAATGTTGATCGTAGTGAGCCTGCAGCACTATCAACAAGATTATCAATTTCAGAGGGACTAAAGTTGTTATAGGACTTTGTTAAATTCAGACATGGCATTGAATTAAACACTGAAGGAATCTCCTCCTTAAATTTAGCTACAACACTGTCAGATAGACATCTGCTGTAGGAAGTTTTGCCTAATGGGTTATAATCTAATAGTATGAATTCAAAAGTTATTAAATAATGGTCAGATAGGAAAGGATTATGTGGGAAGACTATTAAATGTTCAATATCAATGCCATATGATAAAACAAGGTCAAGAGTGTGATTAAAACAATGAGTTGGTTTATTTACACTCTGACAGAAGCCAATTGAGTCTATTAATGATATAAATGCGTTACTAAGGCTGTCATTGTCAACATCGACATGAATATTAAAATCACCTACAATAATTACTTTATCTGATCTGAGGACTAAACTTGATAAAAAGTCTGAGAATTCAGTTATAAAATCAGAGTACGGTCCAGGAGCGCAGTACACTATAACAAATAGAACTGGCTGCAGTGTTTTCCAGTTTGGGTGAAAAAGACTAAGAACAAGGCTTTCGAATGAATTATAATGTAGTTTAGGTTTAGGGTCCATTAAAATGCTCGAATCATATATGGCTGCTACTCCACCTCCTCGGCCGGTGCCTCGAGGAATGTGAGTACTAATATGACTGGGGGGGGGGCGGATTCATTTAGGCTAACATACTCCTCGTGGGACAACCAGGTCTCAGTAAGACAAAGTAAATCAATATCATAGTCTGATATTAATTCATTCACTAAAACAGCTTTAGAGGACAGAGACCTGATATTTAACAGCCCACATTTCATTCTCTTATTTTGTGCTACTGAGGAGTTGGTTTTAAGTTTTATTAGATTTTTATGTTTAACTCCTCTTGTTTGTATTTCTTTAAATAATTTAGGTGGTTGGGGGACAGACACAGTCTCTATGGGGTTTTGGGTGGGTGACTGTTCTAAAGAAAGTGCAGAGAAGTGTGTAAGACAGCAGCTCTGCTTCCTGGTCCCAACTCTGGACTGTCAGGTTTTAGAAATAAACTTCGCCATATTTCTAGATAAGAGAGCCGCTCCATCCAAAGTGGGATGGATGCTGTCTCTCCTAATCAGACCAGGTTTTCCCCAAAAAGGCTTCCAGTTATCAATGAAGCCCACATCGTTTTCTGGACACCACCTCGACAACCAGTGGTGGAATGACAACATGCGGCTATACATGTCATCACTGGTCACATTGGGCAGGGGTCCAGAGAAAACTACGGAGTCCGACATTGTTTTAGCATAATTACACACCGACTCCACATTAATCTTACTGACCTCCGATTGGCGTAAACGGGTGTCATTACCGCCGACGTGGATAACAATCTTACTGTATTTACGTTTATGTTTAGCCAGCAGTTTTAAATATGATTCAATGTCGCCCGCTCTGGCCCCAGGGATACATTTAACTATGGCCGCTGGCTTCGCTAACTTCACGTTTCTGACTATGGAGCTGCCAATAATCAGAGTTGGTTCCTCAGCGGGTGTGTCGCTGAGTGGGGAAAATTTATTAGAAACTATGGGCTCGGCTAAAGATATCTCCGTGGTGCGGTGCCGATCCTCTAACTAACTAAGCCTCGCCTCCAGCGCAGTAAATAAACTACACTTAATACAAGAACCATTATCTTTAAAGGAGGCAGAGGAATAACTGAACATCTGACACACTGAGCAGGACAGAGGAGAGGGAGAGGGAGAAGCCCTAGCTAATGCTAATGTTAATGAAGCTAGCGTGTGTGAAAATTTTTGAAAATAGCGAAAAGTCGCTAAAAGGAGTAACTCCGAGTGTTTAGATAGAACGTCTATGTTTAAATGTTAAGCGGGAAAATAACCGCTGTAATGAGTAAAACAAATTTAGATTTAGTGTTCACTGACAGAGCTACAGCACCAAACAGTGTACACAGAGCACGAAGTGAACCGGAAATGAGTCTGTACGCTTACCGTAGCACGTTCCATCAGTACTCAGTAGTTACTACTAACAGTAGTTCATAGAGGACAATGCAGTCCTCCAAAAGGGGGCAGCAGGAGATCTTGCACACAGACAAATGGAGCAGGTCTAGACCGAACTCCTTATAAACCTTATAAACCGGAGTTACCAGGGGGTACCAATCCCTTATAAACCCCTTTACCTAATTATACCTAATTATACTAACCTTAATAACAAATAATACTTACCTAATTGGACAATCTAATATTTACCTTATTTGATATACCTGAAAAAATAAATAACGACAACCTATATACTTACAAAATTGGATATCTAAATACTTATCTGCTTTGTACAACCAGTACAACAAAACCTGAAAAACAAAACCTGAAAATAAAAATTGACTTTGGGGAGGGTATAAATAGAGGGAACAGTGAGCTCTGGTCACTTGCTGTTGAACATCGACTGAGCAGCATCTTGGAACAAGCCATTTGATAGTCTTTGTGTGCCAGCCTGAGCAAGACCCATTAGGGTCGAAACGTTGCATTTGTTTTATTGGTACACCTTTTTATTTGATTGATTTTATTTTTTATTTTCTTGCTAAAAAAAGTTTAATTTTATGGGAATTATCCTTTCATATTGAAAGCACATCTGGTTGTTTGCTTTTTTATTTTTTAATAGAAAGAAATAGTGACTCAGCCAAGATGGCTGAAACATGCTCCTAGACACTTTCTGAAAAGTCCATACTAGGTGTGACACTCATTTTTCTAAATAGGATCGCTCCATTAACAATGAATGGACGCACGTTCAGTCGAATAACTCAAGAACGGAAGGTAAATGGATGGTAAATGGACCTGTACTTGTATAGCGCCTTTCTAGTCTTCCGACCACTCAAAGCGCTTTTACACTACAGCCACATTCACCCTTTCACACACATTCACTCAGTGATGGCAAAGTCCATCGAACAGAAACTAACATTCATACACAGGGGATCCAGGATTTATGAATCCAGGGTCTGGATCATGCAAAATGACTGAAAAATCACAACTAACACAGAATTTAAAGGGGAACTTGGCAACGCTAACCATTTCTTCACTGGTTTTCACTTTTGTCGTCGCATGTTTTTTCAACAAGCTCCCCCTACAGCTCTGGGACGTATATTTCAAAACACTGTCGTAAAAAAACTCACTTGTGGCCCCTCCTCCCCCTTTCTACCGCTGCTGATGTGCATTTGTTGCCAGGTAACTTTTTTGTGTGGACCAATGTCTACCAAGGCGGCTAATACATTCAACGTCGCTTGTTCTTATAGCCAGCGTGGCTAACCGGTATTGAGGGGGCGTATGCGTTTATGTAGAATTGCTGTAAAGCAGTTTGTGTTTCTCACTCATTCTCGCTTCTCACGATACTTCCCATTTCCAACTTAACAGGACAGTAGTCCAAAGGTTGCAAGGTTGGTTTTCCGCCTGGGGACCCTAGGGGGAGCGGGGAAAGTCACCATTTTCACCGGAACAGGCCATTTAACCATCCAAATGATTTATAAATGAGTTTAAGTTGAAATAGTCGCCAAGATCCCCCGTTTTGTGAAACAGCCATCAGGACGGGTTCAACACCACAACAAAGCTTTAACTTGTTATATTCATTAAATATTTCTCAGTAAACAGACATCAGAAGTTTTCCATAAACAGATTTATTATTGAATAAACAATCCAACATCACAATGAAGCTGCAATAAAAAATACAAATGAAAAAGATCAGTTTCACTTCCTGTTCGGTTTAAGCCCCGCCTCCTGTGTGTTTATTGGGCCAGAGAGCTTTCAATCCCCTTACACTGATGAGATTCTTTGACATGAACAAACCTTGTTTTTATCCAATAATCAAATTTTATTTATATTAATTAATGAAAACTGAAAAATACAAAGCTGAGTGAAGAACTTAAATTCTGACTTCTGGTACAGACGTTAAAACCTCTCTGATAATTTCCACGTTCATGGCAACAAGTGACGTCACACAGTTTGAAAGAAACCGGGCATGCTGGGGAAAAAAAAAAAAAAAAAAACACTGACACAAATGCAACTTCCTGGAAACTGAAAATATTTTTGACTTGTTGTCGTCCTCCTCTTACTCTTCTCCTCTCACTATTCTTCTCCTCCTCCTCTCACTCTCGTCCTCGCTCTACTTGTGTCCCTTGCTGGTCTTGAAGGACACCTGCAGGACCTTGTCTCCCAGTCGGTACCCGTTCAGGCTGTGGATCGCCATGGCAGCCTCCTCGTAATTCGTCATGGTAACGAAGCCGAAGCCTTTGCACTTGTTGGTGTTGAAGTCTCGGATGACTTTCACATTGACGACGGCGCCGAATGGCCCGAACATCTGCCACAGGATGGCCTCGTCTGCGTCCTGACCCAGGTTGTAGATGAAGATGCACCAACCGCTGGACGAGTTCCCGGAGACTCCGCCCCCGCTGCCCATGTGGTCCACGCTCATTGGAGAAAACCTACAACGTGACCATTAGGGCTGGATTAGTAATCTGATTACAGGAAGCAGTAATCTGTTACGGTGGACAGCGCCGACAGGTGAGCATACCTGAACCTCTGGGCCTGGTGATGGACAGGTCCTCCAAAGCGCCGTGATTGGCCGTGGTACATCTGTGACATCATCTGGGAGTTCCTGGCTTGATTTGGGTTGGCAGCAAACTTGACTGTGATTGGCTCAGAGCTGCCGGGGGGCGTGTGCCCATTCAGGTGTTTGACGGCGTCCTCTGCCTCAGACCTCTTATCAAACCGGATGAAGGCCACGCCCCGTGAGAGACCTAGAGCCAATAAGATGGAAGGTTAGGTGTATCAGCACTGAACGGCTGTGATTGGTCAGGTGACACTGTGGTTACTGAGCGTGTGCATTACCGGAGGCCTGGTCCACCAGCACTCTGGAGTTGATGATGTGTCCGAAGCGAGTGAACATGTCCTCCAGGTCCTGCTGACTCAGCGTCCGTGGTAGCCCACTTATGTACAGATTTGCGTCTTTGATCATGTCTGAACTCGGCCGTGCGAAGGAAACCTGTGGGTGGAAACAGGAAGTGTCTCAGTCCAGCATCAATGCGACCAGAAAGAATTCAAATCAACAAAATAAAATAAAGTTACATCAGTCGTTAAATAAAATCCAGAGTTATTTTAAAAGTTTAAAAATTCAATGTAAACAAAAACAAACACTTATCCAGAATTGTCCCAAACAAAAGAGAAACAAAAGACAAAATAATTGCATCCAAACAGTCTCAGATCATTAGGCTCTGTCAAAATAAAAACATAAATTTATGAAAATAAAAGTTCGGCACGGTGTCACACTGAACTGAAGAAAGTCACAGATTCGGTGTCAACACGTGTCGATATTCAAAATGATTGAACAAGGTGACAGCAGAGTTTGAAAAAAATACCTTCATCCATCAGACAGTTTGCAGGAGAGAGCGCCCTCTACTGTCCAGGGAACATAACACATCTATCAGTTGAGACAGGAAAATCAAAGAGCACCTGTGGCACTTTACCTTGATAGTTTTAGACTGTAGCCTCAGGCCATTGAGGGTACTGATAGCCCTCTCTGCATCACTAGGGTTAACAAAGTTAACAAAGCCGTAACCTAAACTGTGGCCTAGAGAAACACAAACAAAAAAAACAACAACAAAATAAAATAACAAACTGTGTGTGTTACAGCCGCAGCCACACATTGTGGACATCTTCTGTCTTTATAACATTCTCCTCAACAAACACATTTCATCAGAGTGAGACCTCCTGTCAACAGCTTTCACTCACCGTCCAAGAGAACGATCAGCTCTCGGATATATTACACTCACACGTTCTGGCCAGTTTGTGGCGCTGACCAGAGCGTGTGAGCGAGAGAGAGAGAGAGAGAGAGGGAGAGCAAGAGAGTGAGTGAGAAAGATGGAGCCACCAACACTGGTTCCACTAAACACTGGTTCCACTAAACACTGCTTCCACTGTAGGTGTCAAGTGAAGGAGGAGCAATACTGAAGGAGGAACGATACTGAGGAGGAGCGATACTGAAGGAGGGGCGATACTGAAGGAGGGGCGATACTGAAGGAGGGGCGACAGTGAAGGAGGAGCATTACTGAGGATGAGCGACAATGAAGGAGGAATGATACTGAAGGAGGAGTGACTTTAAAGAGGACTTTCTCCGCGCTCATATGCTCACAGCAGCAGGAGTATAAACAGTGACAGGAGAGCTCACTCTGAGGAGAAATCGAGAGCAGAAACTTATTCTTCAAACATTAAAACTTTACAGACATTTTCAAATCCTGAAAAATAAAACAAAAACAGGTGAAAACAGCATTAAAACATTTGTACATTAAATTCAGATCAAATATTAAAAACAAACTTAATCTCAGGTCGGGCGATATGGGGGCTTAATTATCTCAATAATATAGAATTGATGAATATTTTATATCTTATCTACAAGTGTGAAAATCAATGTAACATCAATAATCAAAAAATTCTGTTAAATATAAAACGTATTCATCCATATTGCCGAACCTTTGATTTAATCAATCACCATCAAATAAAAAAATTACAACAAAATATTCAGTTCAGACATAAATCACAGAATCAACCTTTAAAAAAAACACATGAGTAGAAAAACAAACAAATAAATAAACAAAAATCAGCTGATTGTCAGAAAAAATACATTTCTTTAAAAAACTCCAGAAATAAAAACAGCCGATGGAGAAAGTACACAGGAAATATTGCAGGTAATACTACTGATACTAATACTAATAATACTACTGATACTACTAATACTGATACTAATAATAATACTGCTACTACTGCAGGTAGTACTACTCCTACTGATACTACTACTCCTACTGATACTACTACTCCTACTGATACTACTACTCCTTCTACTGATACTGATACTACTACTACTGTTGCTACTGAAGGTAGTACTACTACTAATACTACTGATACTAATACTAATAATACTACTGATACTAATACTAATAATAATACTACTGATACTAATAATACTGATACTAATAATACTGCTACTACTGCAGGTAGTACTACTCCTACTGATACTAATACTACTCCTACTGATACTACTACTCCTACTACTGATACTGATACTACTACTACTGTTGCTACTGAAGGTAGTACTACTACTAATACTACTGATACAAATACTAATAATACTGATACTGATACTAATAATAATCTAGATACTAATAATACTGCTACTACTGCAGGTAGTACTACTCCTACTGATACTACTACTACTCCTACTGATACTAATACTACTCCTACTGATACTAATACTACTCCTACTGATACTACTACTCCTACTGATACTACTCCTACTACTGCTACTGAAGGTAGTACTCCAACTACTGCTATTACTGCTATTACTACTACTACTGATACTACTACTGATAATACTACTGATACTACTACTGATACTACTACTGCTATTACTACTGAAGGTAGTACTCCTACTACTGCTACTACTACTGCTATTACTAGTGAAGGTAGTACTCCTACTACTACTGCTACTGAAGGTAGTACTCCAACTACTGCTATTACTACTACTGATACTACTACTGATATTATTGATACTACTGATACTACTACTGATTCTGCTGCTACTGATACTATTGGTCGTGACGTGCTACGGTAAGCGTACTGACTCATTCCCGGTTCACTTCCTGCTCTGTGTACACTGTTTGGTGCTGTAGCTCTGTCAGTGAACGCTAAATATACATTAGTTTTACAGCGGTTATTTTCCCGCTTAACATTTAAACGTAGACTAGTTCTACCTAAACACTCGGAGTTTCTCCTTCTTTAAGCGACTTTTCACTATTTTCAAAAGTTTTCATACACGCTAGCTTCATTAGCATTAGCATTAGCAGTTAGCTATGGCTTCTCCCTCTCCCTCTCCTCTGTCCTGCTCAGTGTGTCAGATGTTCAGTTATTCCTCTGCCTCCTTTAATGATAATGGTTCTTGTATTAAGTGTAGTTTATTTACTGCGCTGGAGGCGAGGCTTAGTGAGTTAGAGGAACGGTACCGCACCACGGAGATATCTTTAGCCGCTATAGTTAGCCAGCCCCCAGTAGCCGGTGCGGGCCGACTGAAGGTAGCTTCTGTTAGCCGTCCCCCAGTAGTTCCCCCGGTAGATCCCCCGGTAGATCCCCCGGTAGTTCCCCCAGTAGTTCCCCCAGTAGTTCCCCCAGTAGTTCCCGAGCAGCCGGGAAGACAGGGAGGCTGGGTGACTGAGCGAAGGAAGACTAAAACGCCGAAGCCCACAGGTCACCACCAACCCATTCATGTTTCTAATACATTTTCCCCACTCAGCGATACACCCGCTGAGGAACCAACTCTGGTTATTGGCAGCTCCATAGTCAGAAACGTGAAGTTAGCGAAGCCAGCGGCCATAGTTAAATGTATCCCTGGGGCCAGAGCGGGCGACATTGAATCAAATTTAAAACTGCTGGCTAAAGATAATCGTAAATACAGTAAGATTGTTATCCACGTCGGCGGTAACGACACCCGTTTACGCCAATCGGAGGTCACTAAGATTAATGTGGAGTCGGTGTGTAACTATGCTAAGACAATGTCGGACACCGTAGTTTTCTCTGGACCCCTCCCCAATGTGACCAGTGATGACATGTATAGCCGCATGTCGTCATTCCACCGCTGGCTGTCGAGGTGGTGTCCAGCAAACGATGTGGGCTTCATTGATAACTGGAAGCCTTTTTGGGGAAAACCTGGTCTGATTAGGAGAGACGGCATCCGTCCCACTTTGGATGGAGCGGCTCTCTTATCTAGAAATATGGCGAAGTTTATCTCTAAAACCTGACAGTCCAGAGTTAGGGACCAGGAAGCAGAGCTGCTGTCTTACACACTTCTCTGCTCTTTCTTTAGAACAGTCACCCACCCAAAACCCCATAGAGACTGTGTCTGTCCCCCGACCACCTAAACTATTTAAAGAAATAAAAACAAGAGGAGTTCAACATAAAAATCTAATAAAAATTAAAACCAACTCCTCAGTAGCACAAAGTAAGAGAATGAAATGTGGGCTGTTAAATATCAGGTCTCTGTCCTCTAAAGCTGTTTTAGTGAATGAATTAATATCAGATTATGATATTGATTTACTTTGTCTTACTGAGACCTGATTGTCCCGCGAGGAGTATGTTAGCCTAAATGAATCCACCCCCCCCAGTCATATTAATACTCACATTCCTCGAGGCACAGGCCGGGAGGTGGAGTGGCAGCCATATATGATTCGAGCGTTTTAATGGACCCTAAACCTAAACCAAATTATAATTCATTTGAAAGCCTTGTTCTTAGTCTTTCTCACCCAAACTGGAAAACACTGCAGCCAGTTCTATTTGTTATAGTGTACCGCGCTCCTGGACCGTACTCTGATTTTATATCTGAATTCTCAGAGTTTTTATCAAGTTTAGTCCTTAAATCAGATAAAGTAATTATTGTGGGTGATTTTAATATTCATGTGGATGTTGACAATGACAGCCTTAGTAATGCATTTATATCATTAATAGACTCAATTGGCTTCTGTCAGAGTGTAAATAAACCAACTCATTGTTTTAATCACACTCTTGACCTTGTTTTATCATATGGCATTGATATTGAACATTTAATAGTCTTCCCACATAATCCTTTCCTATCTGACCATTATTTAATAACTTTTGAATTCATACTATTAGATTATAACCCATTAGGCAAAACTTCCTACAGCAGATGTCTATCTGACAGTGCTGTAGCTTAATTTAAGGAGGAGATTCCTTCAGTGTTTAATTCAATGCCATGTCTGAATTTAACAGAGTCCTATAACAACTTTAGTCCCTCTGAAATTGATAATCTTGTTGATAGTGCTACAGGCTCACTACGATCAACATTAGACTCTATCGCTCCTATAAAAAGGAAATTATTAAAAAGTAGGAGAATAGCAACGTGGTATAACCACCAAACCCGCCAGTTAAAGCAAATAGCTAGGAAATCTGAAAGGAAAGGGCGCTCTTCCAAATTATCAGAATATCGCTCAATTTGGCAAGATAATCTTAAAACTTATAGAAAGGCCCTCCGTAATGCCAGAGGAGCCTATTACTCAGCACTAATAGAAGAAAATAAGAATAACCCTAGGTTCCTCTTCAGCACTGTAGCCAGGCTGACAGAGAGTCACAGCTCTATTGAGCCACATATCCCCATAAACTTAAGTAGCAATGACTTCATGAGCTTCTTCTATGATAAAATCATTACTATTAGAGAGAAAATTAATCACCAACTGCCATCAACAGTTATCAGTGGCTCTCCAAGTTCAGGGACTTCTGTCAATGTAAACTTAGATATATATTTAGACTGCTTTTCTGCTATCGATCTTCATCAGTTAACTTCAATCATTTCTTCATCGAAGCCATCAACCTGTCTATTAGACCCGATCCCAACTAGACTGCTTAAAGAAGTTGTTCCCTTAATTGGCACTTCTTTACTGGATATGATTAATCTTTCTTTATTATCAGGATATGTACCACAGTCCTTTAAAGTAGCTGTAATTAAACCCCTTCTTAAAAAGCCCACTCTTGACCCAGGGGTTTTAGCCAACTATAGACCGATTTCTAACCTCCCCTTCCTCTCTAAGATTCTGGAGAAAGTAGTCGCCAAAGAGTTGTGTGAATTTCTACATAACAATAGTTTATTTGAGGATTTTCAGTCAGGATTTAGAGTTCATCATAGCACAGAGACAGCTTTGGTTAAAGTTAATAATGACCTTCTGATTGCTTCTGGCAATGGACTTGTCTCTGTACTTGTATTATTAGATCTTAGTGCTGCATTTGACACCATTGACCATAATATTCTTTTAGAGAGACTTGAGCATCAAATTGGCATTAAAGGAACCGCACTAAGCTGGTTTAAGTCATATTTATCAGATCGCTCGCAGTTTGTACATGTTAACGATGAATCTTCAATAAATACTACAGTTAGTCATGGAGTTCCACAAGGTTCTGTACTTGGACCAATACTATTTACTTTATATATGCTACCTTTAGGCAACATTATTAGGAATCACTCCATTAACTTTCACTGTTATGCAGATGATACACAGTTATATCTATCGATCTATCTATACAAACATGTCTTAAGGACATAAAATCCTGGATGAGCTGCAATTTTCTGATGTTAAACTCAGAAAAAAACGAAATTCTTGTACTTGGCCCCAAAAACCTTAGAGACTCACTGTCTAAAGATATAGTTACTCTAGATGGCATTAACTTGGCCTCTAGCACCACTGTCAGGAATCTTGGAGTTATCTTTGATCAGGATTTGTCATTTAATTCCCACATGAAGCAGACCTCTAGGACTGCCTTCTTTCATTTATGTAATATTACAAAAATTAGACACATCCTATCACAGACAGATGCAGAAAAACTAATCCAGCCTCCTGCCATGGTCCTGCTAGACTGCCATTGCTAATATCACTGATTAACCCCAAATTGCTCCCTGTGAATGTGTATGAATGTTAGTTTCTGTTCGATGGACTTTGCCATCACTGAGTGAATGTGTGTGAAAGGGTGAATGTGGCTGTAGTGTAAAAGCACTTTGAGTGGTCGGAAGACTAGAAAGGCGCTATACAAGTACAGGTCCATTTACGTCTGTCTGTGTGTCTGTCTGTCTGTCTGTCTCTCTCTCTCTCTCTCACCCCAACTGGTCGAGACAGACGACCACCCACCTAGAGCCGGAGGATCTGTCCTAGGTTTCTGCCTTTTAACAGGCAGTGTTTCCTGCCCCGTCGCCAAGGTCTTGCTCATGGTGGTACTGTTGGGTCTCTGTAAATAATGTTAAAGAGTTCGGTCTAGACCTGCTCTATTTGAAAAGTGTCCTGAGATAACTTCTGTTATGAATTGGCGCTATACAAATAAAATTGAATTATTATTGTTATTATTATTATTATTATTATTATTATTATAATAAGTATTATTATAGTTACGGTTACTGTTGTTGCTGTTGTCACTGCTCATTGTCCCCCATCGTTGCTGTTGTCATGTTCATCATCAGTCACTACTATTAGTGTATTTGTTACTACTGTTGTTGCTGTGCACCTGTCTGTCTGTCTGTCTTTCTCTCTCTTTCACCCCATTGAATTGAATACCACTACTGATACTACTACTACAGATACTGCTACTACTACTGATACTACTACTCCTACTACTACTACTGATACTACTACTACTGATACTGCTACTACTACTACTACTACTACTACTGATACTGCTACTACTACTACTACTACTACTACTACTGATACTGCTACTACTACTACTACAGATACTACTACTACTACAGATACTACTACTACTACTGCTACTACTACTACTACTGATACTGCTACTACTACTACTAAGATACTGCTACTACTACTGCTGCTACTACTCCTGCTACTGCTGCTACTGCTGCTGCTACTACTGATGCTGCTACTACTACTACTACAGATGCTGCTGCTACTGCTGCTGCTACTACTCCTACTCCTGCTACTGCTGATACTGCTGCTACAGATGCTGCTACTACTACTACTACTACAGATACTACTACTACTACTACTGATACTACTACTACAGATACTACTACTACTACTACAGATACTACTACTACTACTACTACTACTACTACTACAGATACTACTACTGATACTACTACTGCTACTACTACTACTGATACTGCTACTACTACTACAGATACTGCTACTACTACTGATACTACTACTCCTACTACTGATACTGCTACTCCTACTACTACTACAGATACTGCTACTACTCCTACTACTACTACAGATACTGCTACTACTGCTGCTACTGATACTACTACTACAGATACTGCTACTGCTACTACTATAGATACTACTACTACTACTGATACTACTACTGCTGCGGGTAGTACTAACCCTCTATCAGGTTCACTTACAGTATTAGTACTGCAGTACAACATGTCCTTACAGTATTTGTACTATAGCTCAGTGGTACTGTGGTATTTGTATTAGCATTAGCAGCTTTAGCACTAAGCACATAGCGTAGTACTACAGTGATAGTACTGTAGTACTACTAGGGGTGGGCGATATGGGCAAAAAATAATATCTCAATATGTTTTGGGATTTTGGCGATAACGATAATCAGTCGATATCCTTTAAAATGTGATTAGAATTGTCTGAGCTGAACTTGTGTCCACCAAACGCGTTTACAGCGCTGAGAGAGCTCATAAACTCATTTTCCGAGCGCCCAGCGGAGTTAAAAGTTGAACAGATCTCAACTTGAAGCGCTCTGAGCGCTGCGCTAAAAAAAACCGTCTCCACTGACATCTTTTTACCGCTGAAGGCGCTTAGCGCTCTGAACGCTGAAGCCCATAGGACCCACGTCTCGGCACTAAATCATCTGAAGTACCGGTAGCTTCAGGGACTGGAGGTGTTTGCATTTTCTCTCTACCATCGCAACGCGCTGCTAAACTGTTGCAAGGAGGATGCTAGCGAGAGGTCACGTGATCACGTCATGTGATCACGTAGGCCCACTAGTCATGTGACTGAATCCTGCCATGCTGTAGAGAGCGCTGCTGCACCGTGTATTAATGGATGTGAGGAGTTTCCGCGGGCGTTTCATTGTTTTTGGTGAATAATTTAAATACTCGATAATGGAAATTTGCACATCGTGAAAACAACGATGACGATATTATCGCAAACGATATATATCGCCCACCTCTAAGAACTACGCACGAGTAATAGTGCGGTACTTTTGGATGTGCATGTGAAGCGGTTGCAGCTCGGGGCGTTGCCGTGGTGCTGTGGTGCTGTGGTGGAGGTTGGGTGTTGTGGTACCGGTACCGGTCTGCAGTAGTAGTTACCTGCCACTTTGTCCCGGATGAGTTTGGCGGACTCGACGTCGCCGACGCTGCTGAACAGACTGCGCAGCTCGTCCTGGCTCATGCTCTGCGGCAGGTAGTTAACGATCAGGTTGGTTCTGGAGTCATCGTCCTCCATCATCTGCTCGCTGTAGCCGTTGTCATACAGCTCCTGAGGACACACACACACCTTTATGACGTCACACACACACACACACCTGCGGCTCCCACAATGCAACTCTCTGGAACACACGGAGGTGGCGCTCACCTTTCCAACGGATCCTTTGGCGGCGAGTTGACCATCTCTGACATCACTCTGGGATGTCTGAACTTCACACACCTGAGACACACAAATCATTAATCCACCTGTGTCGGATCGGGGAGTTATTGATCTGATCGGGGAGTTATTGATCTGATGAGGGAGTTATTGATCTGATGAGGGAGTTATTGATCTGATCGGGGAGTTATTGATCTGATCGGGGAGTTATTGATCTGATCGGGGAGTTATTGATCTGATCGGGGAGTTATTGATCCACTCACCTTCAGGTACCTGATGTGTCCTCGTCTCAGCGCCATGAAGATGAATTAGGTGTTTCACTGCGTCTGAAAGACACCAGCTTCCTGTTATTGATTGTTCTTATTGATTAGTGATCAGCAGTGATCAGCAGTAACATGTGATCTGGATCTGGCTGTTCTCTGATCAGATCTCAGCAAACAATATCAGTGGTCTCTTTCCTGTGAGCTGATCAATAGACAATAATCAGTCCGGGACCAACTGCATCATCAGGAGCGTTTCCATGGACACTGGAACCGGGTCTGATCCCAGGTGTACAGGTGAGCTCTGTGTTTGTGATCGATGTTATCGATACTAAGCTAACAACGTTAGCCACATGATAGCACCGTGCTCACACAAAGAGGCGAGGCGGCTAACGGCGGGAGCTAACATTGCTAACACACGTCATATTTCTTACCTGTATCGGTGGCGGACAGGTGAGTGGCAGTCTGACTCTCTAATATCGATCCGCGAATAAATGTTGTGCTGATGCTAAGCTAACAGACCGGCAATAAAACAGCAGATCGGCGTTTAGCTGCTAGCTGCTAGCTGCTCTCCGCTCCACACAAAGAAATCAAATCTCACTGCGTGCAGCAAGGTATCGCGAGACTACGGCTGCTGCTTCTTCTTCGTCTGTCATTTCAGATGGTTGGAGGCTCAGCGGATTACCGCCACCTGCTGGAAACTCTTCATATTGACATAAATTAAAATCAACATTTATTAATGTTTCTGTCACAGTGAGAGAGAGGGTTGTTTTCACAGCCACAGAGAAACATAAATATATTCTGTAAACACTTTTATAGCATAAATATATTCTATAAACATAAATTTATTCTATAAACATACATCTAAACATAAATATATTCTATAAACATAAATTTATTCTATAAACATACATCTAAACATAAATATATTCTAACAACATAAATATAAACATAAATATATTCTATAAACATAAATTAATGCTGTAAACAAATATATTCTATAAACACTTTTATAACATAAATATAGTCTAAAAAAAATGTATTCTATAAATATAAATATACTTATACTTACTAACACTAACACTTTTATAGCATAAATACATTCTATAAACATCAATAAATTCTATAAACATACATCTAAACATAAATATATTCTATCAACATAAATATAAACATAAATATATTCTATAAACATAAATTAATTCTGTAAACAAATATATTCTATAAACATACATCTAAACATAAATATATTCTAACAACATAAATATAAACATAAATATATTCTATAAACATAAATTAATTCTATAAACATACATCTAAACATAAATATATTCTATCAACATAAATATAAACATAAATATATTCTATAAACATAAATTAATGCTGTAAACAAATATTTTCTATAAACACTTTTATAACATAAATATAGTCTAGAAACAAAAATGTATTCTATAAATATAAATATATCTTATAAACACTTTTATAGCATAAATACATTCTATAAACATCAATAAATTCTATAAACATACATCTAAACATAAATATATTCTATCAACATAAATATAAACATAAATATATTCTATAAACATAAATTAATTCTGTAAACAAATATATTCTATAAACATACATCTAAACATAAATATATTCTAACAACATAAATATAAACATAAATATATTCTATAAACATAAATTAATGCTGTAAACAAATATATTCTATAAACACTTTTATAACATAAATATAGTCTAGAAACATAAATTTATTCTATAAATATAAATATATTCTATAAACACTTTTATAGCATAAATACATTCTATAAACATAAATATATTCTATAAACACTTTTATAGCATAAATATATTCTATAAACACTTTTATATCATAAATACATTCTATAAACATAAATATATTCTATAAACACTTTTATAGCATAAATATATTCTATAAACAAAAATATATTCTATAAACATAAATAAACTCTATAAACAAATATATTCTATAAACATAAATTAATTCTATAAACAAATATATTCTAAAAACACTTTTATAGCATAAATATATTCTATAAACATAAATAAACTCTATAAAGAAATATATTCTATAAACATAAATATAAAGAAATATATTCTATAAACATAAATAAACTCTATAAACAAATATATTCTATAAACATAAATTAATTCTATAAACAAATATATTCTAAAAACACTTTTATAGCATAAATATATTCTATAAACATAAATAAACTCTATAAAGAAATATATTCTATAAACATAAATATAAAGAAATATATTCTATAAACATAAATATAAACATAAATAAATTCTATAAACATAAATAAATTCTATAAATATAAATGTATTCTATAAACATAAATATAAACATGAATAAATTCTATAAACATAAATAAATTCTATAAATATAAATGTATTCTATAAACATAAATATAAACATAAATAAATTCTATAAACATAAATAAATTCTATAAATATAAATGTATTCTATAAACATGAATAAATTCTATAAACATAAATATAAACCTCAATAAATTCTATAATAATAAATAAATTCTATAAATATAAATAAATTCTATAAACATAAATATAGTTAAAGCTGCAAGCAGCGTTGGGGCGGGACTTTGCACTCCACGGGCTCGGGGCGTGCTGCTTGCACACTGAAGTTATGAGTGCTGTTTTATGGCAAAAATCGACAAGTCGTCACTGGCACGCGGTTTGATGTACAGTCACAAATAGCTACATTGTTCATCTACATTTTGTATGACCACAGAATTCAAAATGGCCAAGTTTGACAGCACGCCACAGACACAACCTTTGAAGTACATACACAAATAGCACAACTTTTAATCAGCACCATTTTTTGACTGTACTGACTAATTTTGAAGTAGATCCAATAAATTCCCTAGGAGGAGTTCATTCAAATATGACGCAAAAAAACGTTGAAAATCACTGCACAATGCCGGAAATGGTATCACAGTTTGACATTCGATTTAACCTGGCCAACTTTGATGAGACGCCACGGACACGCCCTTCAATGTACAGTCACAAATAGCACAACTTTTGATCAGCAACATACTTTGACTGTACAGACCAATTTTGGTGGAACTGTTGGGTCTCTGTAAATAATGTTATAAGGAGTTCGGTCTAGACCTGCTCTATTTGAAAAGTGTCCTGAGATAACCTACAGTTGCAAGAAAAAGTATGTGAACCCATTGGAATTACCTGGATTACCTGTTCTGATCTTCATCTAAATCACAGCAATAGACAAACACAGTCTGCTTAAACTAATAGCACACAAACTATTATATGTTCTCATGTTTTTATTGAACACACCATGTAAACATTCACAGTGCAGGGTGGGAAAAGTATGTGAACCCTTGGATTTAATAAGTGGTTGATCCTCCTTTGGCGGTTCCTGTAGTTTCAGATCAGACCTGCACAACCATTCCTCTTTACAAAACTGTTTCCATTCAGCAATATTCTTGGGATGTCTGGTGTGAATCGCTCTCTTGAGGCCACAGCATCTGAATTGGGTTGAGGTCAGTACTCTGACTGGGCCACAGCATCTGAATCAGTTTGAGGTCAGGACTCTGACTGGGCCACTCCAGAAGGTGTATTTTCTTCTGTTGATTTACTTCTGTGCTTTGGGTCGTTGTCCTGTTGGATTCCCCCCCCCCAAACACACACAGTGTTGTGTGTTGCTTCCAAACAACTCAACTTTGGTTTCATCTGTCCACATTTTGCCAGTAGTGCTGTGGAACATCAATAGATAGATAGATGGATAGATACTTTATTTATCCCAAGGGAAATTCAAGTATTCAGTAGCATACAAAACATACATTACATACATTAAACATACATTAAAATATTTGCAAATAAAATTGACTTATAATACAGTAGCCACAGTAAACAGTGCAAAACAGTAAACAGTGCAAATGGAGGTAGAAATAGTCTATTTCTCTATTTCTACCTCCATTTGCACTCCACTATGTTTTTATTGGACAGCAGTGGCTTCCTCCGTGGTGTCCTCCCATGAACTCCATTCTTGTTTAGCGTATCGTAGATTCGTCAACAGAGATGTTAGCAGAGATGTTAGCTGCTCTTACTGTCATCTTTCCAGGACGGCCACTCCTAGGGAGAGTAGCAACAGTGCTGAACTTTCTCCATTTATGGACAATTTATCTTACCGTGGACTGATTAACATCAAGGCTTTCAGGGATACTTTGGTAACCCTTTCCAGCTTTATGCAATCAACAATTCCTCGTAGGTCTTCTGAGAGCTCTTTTGTGTGAGGCGTGGTTAACATCATGCAGCTTTAACCAACACCTCCAATCTCGTCTCATTAATTGGACTCAAGGTTGGCTGACTCCTGACTCCAATTAGCTCTTGGGTTCATTAGCCCAAGGGTTCACATACTTTTCCCACCCTGCACTGTGAATGTTTACATGGTGTGTTCATTAAAAACATGAGAACATATAATAATAATATGTGCTTATTAGTTTAAACAGACTGTGTTTGTCGATTGTTGAGATTTAAATGAAGATCAGATGACATTTTATAACCATTGTATGCAGAAATCCAAGTAATTCCAAAGAAAAACACATTACGAATGAATTAAATATAAACATACATATAAAAGTATTATTACACGTTATTATGGATTATTATTATTATTATTACACGTTATTATGGATTATTATTATTATACATTATTATTGATTATTATTAATATACAATATTGATTATTATTATACATTATTATTGATTATTATTATTATTATTATTACACATTATTATGGATTATTATTATTATACATTATTGATTATTATTATACATTATTATTGATTATTATTATTATACATTATTGATTATTATTATGAATTAATGAATTCTGTTACAACGGAATTGGTTGAGCAATCTATCCCATCTTTTTAAAAAAGATCCAAGAATAAATAAATAAATAAATAACCATGCATACCTACATATGTAACCCCCCTTACACACACACACACACGCACACACACACTCCAAAACCCAACCACCCACCCAGTCTATTGCACATATTCCCATGACCCACACTGATGATTGTCCAAAGTGCTTATGGCCATGGCTAGAAGGTGCTTCTAAGCCAGTTTGTCCTGCTCCCCAATACCCTGTATCGCTTCCCAGAGGGCAGGAGACTGAAGAGGCCATGGCCTGGGTGGGATGGGTCAGAGAGGATCTTCTTGGCCCTGTTTAGCTCTTGCATATTTGCACTGTCTTCCAAGGAGGTCAGAGGGCAGCCAATAATTCGCTGCGCTGATTTAATGACCCCTTGCAGGGCTTTCCTGTTCTTGGCCGTGCAACCTGGGTACCATATAGTGAGGTAGTATGTCAACACACTCTCTATAGTGGAACAGTAGAAGGAACGCAGCAGGTGCACATCCAGGTCACATTTCCTCAGCAGGAAGTGGGTCTTTCCGACTACCACTGACGTGTTGGTGGACCACGTTAAGTTGTTAGCCACATGCACCCCAAGAAACTTAAAATAGGAGACTCTCTCCATGCAGATGCCCTCTATCTGTAGTGGGCAGGGTCAGCTCTCTTCCTCTTCCAGTCCATCACCATCTCCTTGGTTTTGCTGGCAGTCAGCAGGAGGTTATTCGCTGAGCACCAGGCTGCGAGCCTCTGGACCTCCATCCCTGTATGCTGTCTCATCACCGCCAGAGATGAGGCCCACCACTGTTGTTGTTGATTATGTTAGAGTGGTGGAGAGGGGCACAGTCGTATGTGTATAGGGCATACAGGAAAGGGTTTAACACACAGCCCTGAGGCGAACCTGTGCTCAGTGGTGGATGTAAGGGTCCCAAACCTCACTGTCTGTGGCCGGTCCGTCAGCTTATTATATATTAATATATTATACACATTATTATTATTGATGATGGTTATTACACATTATTATTGATTATTATTATTAAGTAAATATATTTTGGGGGGATTTTACTACCTTTATTATAGTGACAGCTGAAGACAGACGGGAAAGGGGGGCAGAGAGAGAGGGCATGACACGCAGCAAAGGGCCGCAGGTCAGATTCAAACCCTGGGCCAGCCTCGGTACATGGGTTGCCAGCTCTACCCACTGAGCTATCCAAGCGCCCACTAATTATTATTATTACACATTTATGCATTAATGGGACATGAATGAGTGCAGAAAGAGAGAGGAAGGGAGGAGCTCAGTGCACCATGGGAAATCCCCCGATAGTCTAGGCCTATAGCAGCATAACTAAGGGATGGTTCAGGACTCACCTGATCCAGCCCTAACTATAAGCTTTATCAAAGAGGAATGTCTTAAGCCTACTCTTGAATGTGGTGAGGGTGTCTGCCTCCAGAACCACAACTGGAAGCTGGTTCCACAAGAGAGGAGCTTGGTAACTGAAGGCTCTGGCTCCTGTTCTACTTTTAGAGACTATAGGAACCACAAGTAGCCCAGCATTCAGAGAACGTAGTGTTCTAGAGGGGTAATAGGGTACTATGAGCTCTTTAAGATATGAAGGGGCCTGACCATGAAGAGCTTTATAGGTGAGGAGGAGGATTTTAAATTCAATTCTACATTTTACAGGGAGCCAATGCAGAGAAGCTAGTACAGGAGAGATGTGATCTCTTTTTCTAGTTCCTGTCAGTACTCGTGCTGCAGCGTTCTGAATTAATTGGAGCGTTTTAATGGACTTATTGGGGCAACCTGATAATAAAGAGTTGCAGTAATCTAGCCTTGAAGTAACAAATGCATGGATTAGTTTTTCTGCATCTGTCTGTGATAGGATGTGTCTAATTTTTCTAATATTACGTAAATGAAAGAAGGCGGTCCTAGAGGTCTGCTTTATGTGGGAGTTAAATGACAAATCCTGATCAAAGATAACTCCAAGATTCCTGACAGTGGTGCTAGAGGCCAAGTTAATGCCATCTAGAGTAACTATATCTTTAGACAGTGAGTCTCTAAGGTTTTTGGGGCCAAGAACAAGAATTTCGTTTTTTTCTGAGTTTAACATCAGAAAATTGCAGGTCATCCAGGATTTTATGTCCGTAAGACATGTTTGTAATTTAGATAATTGATTAATTTCATTGGGTTTGATTGATAGATATAACTGCGTATCATCTGCATAACAGTGAAAGTTAATGGAGTGATTCCTAATAATGTTGCCTAAAGGTAGCATATATAAAGTAAATAGTATTGGTCCAAGTACAGAACCTTGTGGAACTCCATGACTAACTGTAGTATTTATTGAAGATTCATCGTTAACATGTACAAACTGCGAGCGATCTGATAAATATGACTTAAACCAGCTTAGTGCGGTTCCTTTAATGCCAATTTGATGCTCAAGTCTCTCTAAAAGAATATTATGGTCAATGGTGTCAAATGCAGCACTAAGATCTAAGATCTAATAATACAAGTACAGAGACAAGTCCATTGTCAGAAGCAGTCAGAAGGTCATTATTAACTTTAACCAGAGCTGTCTCTGTGCTATGATGAACTCTAAATCCTGACTGAAAATCCTCAAATAAACTATTGTTATGTAGAAATTCACACAACTCTTTGGCGACTACTTTCTCCAGAATCTTAGAGAGGAAGGGGAGGTTAGAAATCGGTCTATAGTTGGCTAAAACCCCTGGGTCAAGAGTGGACTTTTTAAGAAGGGGTTTAATTACAGCTACTTTAAAGGACTGTGGTACATATCCTGATAATAAAGAAAGATTAATCATATCCAGTAAAGAAGTGCCAATTAAGGGAACAACTTCTTTAAGCAGCCTAGTTGGGATCGGGTCTAATAGACAGGTTGTTGGCTTCGATGAAGAAATGATTGAAGTTAACTGATGAAGATCGATAGCAGAAAAACAGTCTAAATATATATCTAAGTTTACATTGACAGAAGTCCCTGAACTTGGAGAGCCACTGGTAACTGTTGATGGCAGTTGGTGATTAATTTTTTCTCTAATAGTAATAATTTTATTATAGAAGAAGCTCATGAAGTCATTGCTACTTAAGTTTATGGGGATATGTGGCTCAATAGAGCTGTGACTCTCTGTCAGCCTGGCTACAGTGCTGAAGAGGAACCTAGGGTTATTCTTATTTTCTTCTATTAGTGCTGAGTAATAGGCTCCTCTGGCATTACGGAGGGCCTTTCTATAAGTTTTAAGATTATCTTGCCAAATTGAGCGATATTCTGATAATTGCGAAGAGCGCCATTTCCTTTCAGATTTCCTAGCTATTTGCTTTAACTGGCGGGTTTGGTGGTTGTACCACGGTGCTAGTCTCCTATGTTTTAATAATTTCCTTTTTATAGGAGCGATAGAGTCTAATGTTGATCGTAGTGAGCCTGCAGCACTATCAACAAGATTATCAATTTCAGAGGGACTAAAGTCATTATAGGACTTTGTTAAATTCAGACATGGCATTGAATTAAACACTGAAGGAATCTCCTCCTTAAATTTAGCTACAGCACTGTCAGATAGACATCTGCTGTAGGAAGTTTTGCCTAATGGCTTATAATCTAATAGTATGAATTCAAAAGTTATTAAATAATGGTCAGATAGGAAAGGATTATGTGGGAAGACTATTAAATGTTCAATATCAATGCCATATGATAAAACAAGGTCAAGAGTGTGATTAAAACAATGAGTTGGTTTATTTACACTCTGACAGAAGCCAATTGAGTCTATAAATGATATAAATGCGTTACTAAGGCTGTCATTGTCAACATCCACATGAATATTAAAATCACCTACAATAATTTCTTTATCTGATTTAAGGACTAAACTTGATAAAAACTCTGAGAATTCAGATATAAAGTCAGAGTACGGTCCAGGAGCGCGGTACACTATAACAAATAGAACTGGCTGCAGTGTTTTCCAGTTTGGGTGAAAAAGACTAAGAACAAGGCTTTCAAATGAATTGTGATTTAGTTTAGGTTTAGGGTCCATTAAAACGCTCGAATCATATATGGCTGCTACTCCACCTCCTCGGCCAGTGCCTCGAGGAATGTGAGTATTAATAAGACTGGGGGGGGGGTGGATTCATTTAGGCTAACATACTCCTCGTGGGACAACCAGGTCTCAGTAAGACAAAGTAAATCAATATCATAATCTGATATTAATTCTTTCCCTAAAACAGCTTTAGAGGACAGAGACCTGATATTTAACAGTCCACATTTCATTCTCTTATTTTGTGCTACTGAGGAGTTAGTTTTAATTTTTATTAGATTTTTATTTCTTTAAATAATTTAGGTGGTCGGGGACGGACACAGTCTCTATGGGGTTTTGGGTGGGTGACTGTTCTAAAGAAAGAGCAGAGAAGTGTGTAAGACAGCAGCTCTGCTTGCTGGTCCTAACTCTGGACTGTCAGGTTTTAGAAATAAACTTCGCCATATTTCTAGATAAGAGAGCCGCTCCATCCAAAGTGGGATGGATGCCGTCTCTCCTAATCAGACCAGGTTTTCCCCAAAAAGGCTTCCAGTTATCAATGAAGCCCACATCGTTTGCTGGACACCACCTCGACAGCCAGCGGTGGAATGACGACATGCGGCTATACATGTCATCACTGGTCACATTGGGGAGGGGTCCAGAGAAAACTACGGAGTCCGACATTGTCTTAGCATAATTACATATACATATTAATTATTATTGATTATTATTATTAAACATTATTATTGATGATTATTACACATTATTATTATTGATGATTATCACACATTATTATTGATGATTATTACACATTATTATTATTGATGATTATTACACATTATTATTATTGATGATTATTACACATTATTATTATTGATGATTATCACACATTATTATTATTGATGATTATTACACATTATTATTATTGATGATTATTACACATTATTATTATTGATGATTATTACACATTATTATTATTGATGATTATTACACATTATTATTATTGATTATTATTCAATCATGTTTTGATATTGTTGTTTCGTCATCAGTCTTTTGTGACGACCGTATATGTGTGACGTCACTTGGTGACTTCCGCTGCGGAAGCCGCTGCTACATGTAAACAAAGCGGACCGATCAGGTGGAGATCAGCTCCGTTTAATCAATAATACAATCAATAAAGTCAATCAGACGGATCCAGGGCCGAGAGTCCGGGTCATGGAGTTCCGCAGAGACTGAACCGGAACCAGCAACATGTCCATGGAAGACCCGTTCTTCGTCGTTAAGGGGTCAGTTTACACCGTGCTAACCATTGCTAATGCTAACTGGAGCTAACGGCTAGGGTTAGCCTGCGTATAGCTCACAGCTCAGCGATAATCAATGAACCCAGCTCACAGCTCAGCGATAATCAATGAACCCAGCTCACAGCTCAGCGATAATCAATGAACCCAGCTCACAGCTCAGCGATAATCAATGAAAAGACACACAGCGAACCCCCATGCTAACGTTAGCATCAGCGTTTTATGAATGAGTTAGCATGTTGACATGTTGCTGTGATGTTAACCTGATGTTAGCTCATAGCTCAGTCAGTGTTTAATGATAATAATGTAAAATATGTTAATAAAGGGGCGGCTGTGGAAGGTTGGCGGTTCGATTCCCGGCTCTTGCTGGATGTCCAGTGTTGTATTGGAGTGTCACTGTAGTGTACAGAGCACCGAGTATAAGTCACTTCATTATAATATAAAACAGTGAAACATCCTGATTGAAAGGTTTATTCTGTTTCTATTTCTTCATGTTTTAATCCACAGTCTTCCCTTCAGTCAGTGAGTCGTGATTTAATACTTTGAACGACTCGTTGTTTTCCTGAAGCTCTACAATGACTCTGAGTCACAATAGCCATAATTTGATGTTGTTTGTTGATCAGTGAAGTACAGAAAGCAGTGAACGCAGCTCAGAGCCTCCATCACAGATGGAGCGAGCTGCTGCAAGAGGGAGGCGGAGCCTCCAAGGAGGAAATGGACTGGACGACCAATGAGCTGAGGAACAGTCTGCGCTCCATTGAGTGGGACCTGGAAGACCTTGACGAGACCATCAATATCCTTTGAACAACAATGTGTGTTTGAGTGTCTCTGAGTTTTTGTTTTTTTTAAATAAGTTTATCATTGTAAACGTTGTTCTTAACTGTCAGTGAACGCATTGTTGAGTCCAACCCAAAGAAGTTCAACCTCGATGCAGCCGAGCTGTCGAAAAGGAAAGCCTTCATCACCAGCACCAGACAGACTGTTAAGGTACGTTCATTTAAACGAGCCTGTGGTCGTCTGGTTTCCAATTGAGGGTTTCCAGTTTTATTATCTGTCTCTGCCTTTAAAACACAGCACTTAAAACTGGATCACATTAAGGTGGGAAAGGCTTGAGAGGCGTCCTGACTATTAAGATAAGAAAATGAAAACGATAGCAAACCAACTGCCTCACAAGCTGTACAGTATAAGTTAACACGCGCTTAGCCGGAAAGCTAGCTACAATGGCCGCCTACGTGAACATCCACAGCGAGCCCTATGAGAGCGGTGCTAATGCAGCAGCCTCAGAGAACCTTTAAATCACTGCAGAACATTTTACCCCCTGACTTCCAGAGCCCTGGAAAGTAGCAGGGAGCTTCAGATTATGGTACCTTCTCGAGGTAGAAGCTGAACCAGTCAAAGAGTGAATGTGTGTGCTCTATATGTAGAGGATAGAGAAGCTATCAGCATTACTGGAACCTTTGCATCTGTCCAAAGTCAGCAGCGTCAAATATAATATTTTATAATAATGAGCACTTTAAACAGGCAAGACTTAGTAGATTTTATGTTTTGAAATAATAAACATTATTACTGTGCTGCTTAGTAAGGTGATTGTATCAGAATGATCTGATTGGCTGAGGTGGACCTGATGAATTGATTGATCTGATTGGTTGCTGACTGACTTCATTTCTCTTGAAGGAAATGAAAGAGCAAATGTCGAGTCCAGCTGCAGCCTCAGTGGACAGAAAGAACAGACAGGTAACTGCACACACCTGAACTACACTGCACCCCCTGACCTGGTAACCTACCTGATTAGGTGAGGTTATAGTAAGGGGAGGTCTCTGGGGGTCCCTGTGTGGACACAGAGCTGCTGTTGATGTAAAATGTCTTACAGCCTGTGGTTGTGTTGTTGTCCAGGATCTGCTCGGCGAGCGTGGTGCTCAGGGTCCAATTTGGCAGCCCGGTCCTGATAAATACAGCCGACTGGACCGGCAACTGCAGAGCGCCAACTCCCAGTTTATAGAAGAGCAGCAGGTCCAGCAGCAGGTACACTAACAGCCATCAGCAGTATGGTGATATGAAGGGAAAAAGGATGTAATTGGTGGATTGAATATGTTTGTGTTTGATCCAGCTGATAGCGGAGCAACAGGATGAACAGCTGGAGCTTGTGTCGGGAACAATTGGAGTCCTGAAGAACATGTCCGAGAGGATCGGCATGGAGTTGGATGAACAGGCCGTGTAAGAAGTTCACCTCCTTCATTATTTAACTTGGAAATGTATCCCTAAAGGCTATAACACACTGGCACCACAGCGGTGCTTCAGTCTCCAGGAGCTCCTTTGCTATTAAAACTCAATGCTGGTACACATTTACAACAGCAGGGGGAAGGGTTAGTAACCGGGATGTAACCTGAACCTTTTCAACTCTAAAGGCCATCAGTTGACCTTTTAATACTATGCTATAATTGATCATACTATATAAACTGTCTATCATAAGACATTAGCTTAAAATCCTGTGTGGATACTATTTAAACTCTCTCTAGAGTGTCTCAATGAACATTTCTTTCTTCTGCAGGATGTTGGATGACTTCACTCATGAGGTGGATAACACGCAGTCAAGATTGGACAACGTCATGAAGAAACTGGCCAAAGTGTCTCACATGACCAGTGGTAAACACACGATTTCCCCCTCAGTGTTTGTACTGGAGTGGTACAGAAAAAATAAGATAAATAATAGTTTTCTGTATGTCCGTCTAATGTGACCATCCCTCAGTATTGATCAGCTATCACATAAATCAGGTTAATTGAATCAATACCTCAGCTGTCTGTGTTCTCATTGGATGAAAACAGAGCAGGGGTTGTTTAGTATCAGTTGGGCTTTCCCCGACTAAAGGTTTTCCCAGTCGACTGGTAGTGGCTCATTCCGGCCAGTAGTCCACTACAACGTTTGATACTAATAATAGTCACAGCCTTATCGATCCGATGGATGATGTTATTAACAATTCAACTCTACAAACTCGCTCCTCTCCCTTTCACCTATCATTATCGGCCAATATTCCCTCTAATTAGTTTGAATCGCTGATCAGCTGACACATTTATTTTATTCCACAAGCTCAGTTTTTGGAGGTTACGCCGGTTTATTAACGTTATCTGCTGGATGTTTAACAAGCACAGAGCAGTTAAAGTTTCTTTTTCAATATGATAATTATATAACATAACAAGCACAGAGCAGGTGAATCAATAAGTAACGTCATTAATGAACTTTCTCCTTAAGGCACGGCTCACCTGCTGCTGTCAACACAGTAACAGAAAGTCTTCCTGTGTTACAAGAGAAATGGTCCATGTTGCAACAATCCAGTTTAACGTTGGTTTGGTTTCTCTGTGACTGTCAAACTGAAAGTGTCACTGCGACTCTGAACAGACTGACGACACAGTCGACTGTTGGAGGAACAGCTCTAGTAATAGCTTTAGTTAGCTTTAGTTAGCTGTCAGGTTAATTATAGAATGCTGTAGATATTGGTAGTGATAGTAAATTGTAATTAGTTAAATGTCATTAACAACGTTTCTGCAGATTGTTGGCAGCAGTTATTGCTAGTTATACAGGTAATTCATATTTATAGTTAATTAGTTGATAGTTATGAACATTCTGTATTTCCACAGATCGCCGTCAGTGGTGTGCTATCGGTGTGTTGCTCGCCATCCTCTTCGTCGTCGTCCTTCTCTTCTTCATCCTCTGATAGATGCGTCCTCCTGTCAGCACAGAACTCGTCTGTCTGCTGAACTCTACTGCGCCCTGTTGGACTCTACTGAACTCTACTGCACCCTGTCGGACTCTACTGAACTCTACTGAACTCTACTGCACCCTACTGCACCCTGTTGGACTCTGCTGAAGTCTACTGAACTCTACTGCACCCTGTTGGACTCTACTGAACTCTACTGCACCCTGTCGGACTCTACTGAACTCTACTGCACCCTGTCGGACTCTACTGAACTCTACTGAACTCTACTGCACCCTACTGCACCCTGTTGGACTCTGCTGAAGTCTACTGAACTCTACTGCACCCTGTCGGACTCTACTGAATTCTACTGGACTCTGTTGCACCCTGTCGGATTCTACTGGACTCTACTGGACTCTACTGCACCCTGTCAGACTCTACTGGACTCTACAGGACTCTACTGAACTCTACTGCACCCTGTCGGACTCTACTGAACTCTACAGGACTCTACTGAACTCTATCGGACTTGGTCATAAACAAAATGTCATAAAGCAGATACCGGTCAGTCCAGTAAAGTCCTGATCCTGCAGGTAACGCACCTGAGCTGCCAGAGAACAATCAGCAGATACTATCAGTCCACCTTAAAACTTACTGTAATAATAATTAATACAAACAGTATTTAATGTAGTTTAACATCAACATAACAAAGACAGAACAGTTAGCTCCAGTTTAACTGGTCAGTTTAGTGAAACTCAACTTATTGAATGTGATTATATTGTATAATAGGGTTATTGAACTCTTTTATTGAAACAAACCAAATAATTGAATTAAATAATTATAGTTATAAATTAAAGTTAATCAGGAAAACAAGTTACTGGTTACATTCGACTCTACTGGACTCTACTGGACCCCTAACTACAGATGTTCCTAGTGGACTATCAGTCATTAGATAAAGCCAATAGTCGACTAATCATCATGTTTCTGGTATTACTGTATTGATTTATATGTGAACAGCCGCCTGTTAAACAGAAACAGTGGTAATGATTGTGAATCAGAACAACCAACAAGGAGACTGAACCTTTAGTTCATTTATTCCAACACAGTGTAACATCACACAGTCTGCTTGTTCAACACACGGAATAAATAACTTAGAACTTCACTGAAACTAATCCTGGCGGACTGATCGATACGATGGATGATGGATAACGTTAACAGTTACTGACTGATTAACTGGCTACTAATTGGCTCCTCTTCCTCCGTTTTATTCCTCTCCTGTCGCTGCCTGAACCCGCCGGGTCTTCATCCCGAGAGTCAGAGTCCTGGTCGGAGCTGCTGGACATCAGCCGGCCTCCGTCGCCTGCCCCGCTCCAGTTCTGTGGTTCATTCGGGCCCCGCTCCAGTTCTGTGGTTCATTCAGGCCCGCTCCAGTTCTGTGGTTCATTCGGGCCCCGCTCCAGTTCTGTGGTTCATTCAGGCCCGCTCCAGTTCTGTGGTTCATTCGGGCCCCGCTCCAGTTCTGTGGTTCATTCGGGCCCCGCTCCAGTTCTGTGGTTCATTCGGGCCCCGCTCCAGTTCTGTGGTTCATTCGGGCCCGCTCCAGTTCTGTGGTTCATTCGGGCCCCGCTCCAGTTCTGTGGTTCATTCGGGCCCAGCTCCATTTCTGTGGCTCATTCGGGCCCCGCTCCAGTTCTGTGGTTCATTCGGGGCCCCGCTCCAGTTCTGTGGTTCATTCGGGCCCCGCTCCAGTTCTGTGGTTCATTCGGCCCCGCTCCAGTTCTGTGGTTCATTCGGGCCCAGCTCCATTTCTGTGGCTCATTCGGGCCGTCAGTTCTGTGGTTCATTCGGGGCCCCGCTCCAGTTCTGTGGTTCATTCGGGGCCCGCTCCAGTTCTGTGGTTCATTCGGGCCCCGCTCCAGTTCTGTGGTTCATTCGGCCCCGCTCCAGTTCTGTGGTTCATTCGGGCCCAGCTCCATTTCTGTGGCTCATTCGGGCCCCGCTCCTGTTCTGTGGCTCATTTGGCCCAATAGCAGCACTAACTAGCTAATAGCAGCTAGTACAGTTAGCATATGCAGCAGTGCAGTGGTAAGAGACTTCCTGTGTTACAAGACGAGGTTACGAGGAGCAGCTCCTCAACGCAGTTTAACTTTGGTTTGGTTTCTCTGCGACTGTCAGACTGAAAGTGTCACTGAGACTCTCAAGAGACTGACGATACAGTCGACCATTAGGGGGCAGCACTACTGTGTATACCTAATTTTACAGGACTGGACTAGACTGGACGTAGGACTAAAAAGGCACTTTGGTTCTTTGAGTGTTTGACTGTTAAAATCATTTCAGAGGTCAAGGTCAAACCAGGTGGTAACAAGTTTGATGTGTTTTATGTTTGTGTTTGTTTATTTAAAGGGCTGAAATAATAATTTCAACTCCAGTGTAATCGCAGTTTAACTCTGAGTTTAACTTTACCTCTGGTTTAACTCCAGTTAAGCTCCAGTTTAATTTCAAGTTAAGTGCAATTCTAACTTCAGCTTTTCTCAAGTTAAACCCAGTTTAACTCCCAACCTGAACTCCAGTTTTAACTCTGTTAATGTCAGTTTAATTCTATTTTTTTTAACTTCAGGTTTAATTGTGGCGGTTTAGTCTGATGTTTCTTTAATGTAAGAACACTAAAACTTCCTGTTTCTGTTTCTGTTTTTCTGATTTTTCAGTTTACAGTAAGTTTTTGTTTTACTGACTTTGTTTTATTTTTTATTTCATTTTTTTCTTTCCTGTACCATATCAATCATCTTATTGATCAGTTTACTGATCAGTGGTAGTTAAACTGTCACTAATTTAGACTATATACACTTCCTGCTGCTGCTTCACAATAAAGGCCCATCTCTAGTGGAATATTTTTAATGTGAAGCAGCAGCAGAAAGTGCGGTCCTGAACTAGGTAACTGCTTGTGAATATAAATTGGTTGAAATCAGGTAACAGGTGAGCTGTAAGACGAAGCAGCCAATCACATCGTCCCACACCATCAGGTTTACGGTACACATGGTGGTAAATTTACACGTCTGCAGGTGATGAAATGCTGTAAAAATATGAACGGTTTTATTGAGCCACAGTGTTCACAAATCAGTTTAATACTAAATACACTTAAATACAGTAATTAGTAAGTACATTATTAACACTAATTTCATAAATCCATCTAGTCATTTTCCAGCAAATTTCACAAAAGAATTCAGTATTTTTTTATTTTTCTTTCAGGGAAAATGTCAGATTGAATCTTTAAATAGAATTAATTAGTGTCTTCTGTCAGAGTGAGAAGCTGATTTTCATAAATTAAGCAGAAAATGTCAGTTTCAACTGATAATGTTTGTTGTTTCAAAACTTTATTTCTGGAAACAAAACCAACATGGAGTCCTAAAATAATATAATAATAATAATAATTACTGTATTTTGTTGACACATGAATCAGACCAGAAGAACAGATCAATGACTGAATTACGGCTGAATGAAGACCATAAATGTATTGATCAGTTTAGTTAAACTGTGTTATTGATGGGTGAATGAAAACATGGTCTGTCTTTATTATTTTACTTTTTGTCGAGCAGCTGAGTGAAGTTTTTGTGTCTGCAGGTAAATTTTATTTCAATAAACTAATTCAGAAAATAAAAACAAACTTTTTGTGTTTACATAAGCAGTCAGAACAGACATTGAACACCATTTACCATTAATCAGCAGTATATCATTAATTAATGGATGGTTTATTGTTATGTACACAACTGTTTGTTGACTACTACAGTTAGAATGGTAGATCTTCAGATGATTTTCAGTCAGGATTTAGAGTTCATCATAGCACAGAGACAGCACTGGTTAAAGTTAATAATGACCTTTTAATTGCTTCAGACAATGGACTTGTGTCTGTCCTTGTATTATTAAATCTTAGTGCTGCATTTGACACCATTGACCATAATATTCTTTTACAGAGACTTGGGCATCAAATTGGCATTAAAGGAACCACACTAAGCTGGTTTAAGTCATACTTGTCAGATCGTTCTCAGTTTGTACATGTTAACGATCTTCCATAAATACTACAGTTAGTCATGGAGTTCTGTACTTGGACCAATTCTATTAACTTTATATATGCTTCCCTTGGGCAACATTATTAGGAATCACTCCATTAAAGCTCCAGTGTGTAACATTACTGTGATCTAATATTCATGAGGAGGCAGCACTGAGACGATTTTTCCTTAAAACAAACTGAACTTTATGTTTCAATGTTACAACAGACTTAAAAACAAATGTTCATCACATCTGTAGCTCTCTTATAAACTACTAGTCATTTCACAGGTAAACACAGGTGATCATAATGAGTCATCATGAATCATCAGTTCAGTTCAATTTGTTATCAACGTGCTCTGGAGTTTTAGTTCTCAAAGGTGTTTGAAGTAAGGTTCAGGTAGTTACCCTCAGATAGTATAGTGGTATATAGTGGTTGTAATCGGTCAGTGCTACATTCACCGTGGAATTGTCCTCCTGTGCCGGAGCACCCGTATGGTTGCCGTAGTGTTCTGGGTCAGAAGGTGGGTCACCTGGTCCAGACTGAGACAGGCCACCTTCTCCCCGTTTACTTCCAGGATCTCATCTCCAACCTCCAGCAGGCCAGCGTACAACTTCTCAGTGCTGCTGTCCACCATGTCCTCCACATATACACCTACAGTACACATTATTATATTGTTAGTACACTGTCAGGGATCCATCTTTGGTCTCTTTATCTAATACATTATTGATCTGCTGTTAATTTACCCCAAATCAATATCCAGATGTATGCAGACAACAGTTGTTTACACCCAAAACATGAGAACAAACTCCTTCCAAACTCATTGCAGTAAAAATATGTCTCACTCTCAATGTGTCTCACTCTTTACAAGAGTTAGGGCGTCCTCTACCTTTAATGATTAGTTGTAGTATTAGTAGTATTAACAGTACTATTTGTAGTATCTGTAGTACCAGAGTCGGGGCGTCCTCTCCCTCTGCTGATTATGAATCCATACAGTCGGTTCTTCAGTTGACCGACCTCCAACAGAAACGTTCCATCAGAACAAACCTGAAGAACTCGACCAACAGAACGGACTGAAGATGGGCAACCAACATCCTCGAGACTGAGACACCGATGCAGGAACCTGGCAGACAGACAGACAGAGAGTACTGAAGCTGTGATTGGCTGATGTGGGAACAGATTATAAAATCAGAAACTGGTGTGTTACTGCTCAGCAGCTGGTCTGTAGTCAGCTGAACGATCCTTCTTCTTCTTCTGTTCTGACCCGAAACTTTGAACTGATGACGACTTTCTCAACTGCAAGAAAGGTGACCCCTGCTGAAGAAGAAGAAGAAGAAGATAAAGAAAAGGAGTGACCTCTGCTGGACAGACAGTGAAGTTAATGCTAAAAACTGATAGCTGATGATCTTCTCACCACACTGAGCAACTGAACAGACAGGGTTTTCTTCAGCAGACCGGAGGACTTCCTGCGACACAAGAGGTCGGGGTCAGATTCAGAGGGGATGAGGTCAGATGCTGAGGAGTCAGGGCGTGAGCTGAGGCGGTCAAGGCTGCTGGTCCGACTCCTGCTCAGTCTGACAGTGGAGAAAAGATGTCGCAGCGAAAGACGAGAGGATTGATTTCTTCTGAAGCTGAAACAGAGAGGATTATTGATAACTGATGGTAAAGATACTTTATCAGTCAACTGTAGTTCAGTGTAGCTGAACAGCTGTTGGATCAGGACTTCCAGCAGAGGTTACACACTCACTGTTCAGGAAGTGAGGCGTCATCACTGTGAAGTTCTGCTGTCATTGGCTGTATGATCTGTTCATCGCTGCTGCTGTCTGGTGTGGGCGGAGCTTGGCACTCTGCTGTAAACCAATCAGAATGATATTCAATTCAATTCAATTCAATTTTATTTGTATAGTGCCAATTCATAACAGAAGTTATCTCAGGACACTTTTCAAATAGAGCAGGTCTAGACCGAACTCTTTAACATTAATTACAGAGACCCAACAGTACCACCATGAGCAAGCACTTGGCGACAAGGGCAAGGAAAAACTGCCTGTTAAAAGGCAGAAACCTAGGACAGATCCTCCGGCTCTAGGTGGGTGGTCGTCTGTCTCGACCAGTTGGGGTGAGAGAGAGAGAGAGAGAGAGAGAGGCAGAGAGAGCGAGAGCCAGACAGACAGAGTGAGTAATGCAAAGTGTCAGTGAGGTCAGCTGATGAAAGCTGAAGAAGAAGAAGAAGCTAATGGTCTCACCTGTTGACTCTGAGGTCCTCAGTGAGGAGAAGGAGTTCTTCGTCCTGAGATCCAGACCTTGTTCCACCACACAGGGGCTCCTCTCCTTCAAATCTGCCCGAGATCGGAGCTCTCTGTGGGACTCCTCCTGGTTCTGGTTCAGGTTCTTCCCTGCCTTTGTGCCATTGAGCCTGATCTGTGACATCATTGCTGATGTCACAGGAGGAGACAAGAAGGAGGGGCATTTGGAGATGGGCGAGGTTAGATCTGAGGGCTGATTAGGAGTGGTCAGCTGGTTGGGGGCGTAGGGGTTGATTGGCCTGTCTGTGTTAAGCGTGGCCGGAGGGGGAGTCACCTGGTTTTCATTAAGTTCCACCTGATTGGTCCTCTTCCTCAGCTGGTTGTTCATGACACATCGATCCCCACCCCCTCCACCACTGGTCTCACCAGCTGTGATGGAGCCAATGTAGGTCTCTCTGATTGGCTCAGTCCGTAGGTTGAGGCTGGGCTTGTACAGACTCCGGCCCCAGTCTTCAGGTGTATGTGGTTGTAGACGGAGGTTCAGGTTGATTTCACCTCCTAAAACTGTCCCACAGGAGTCACACTGATCCACCCTTCCTGCTGGCATCAGTTCTCTCTGCTGTCTGTCAACAACAGGCCGCACCCCCTTCATCCCTGCCCTGCCGTTGACGTACAGGTTCAGATCTGGTTTAGAGAGCAGGATACCTGTCCCTCGATGCCCCACCCGTCTTCTCTGTCGCTCCAGGTAACGAGACTCTGCCTCAGTCTCTGTCTCATCCTCGAATCGGAGACGGCGGGTTGGAGACGCTGCCGCGGGGCGTCTTCTTGTTGTGCCAACAGCCAATTTGCTGCTGGACGAGTCACTCAGATGTCCCGATAAAGAGGCCATGCCCTCCGACCTCACCTGGACAGGATGTAACCTGACCCCCGACCTGTGAGCAGACCACAGTTAGAGGGAGCCAGAGTCCAGCAGAACTGGGATCATACTTTTACTAAAATGTACAGTCAGGATGTTAGTGGCTCTACATGCGCAAATAAAACAGTTTTTTCATTAACATTTTGAAGTAGTTCCACTTTTATCAGTTTTACTTTGGACAAAGCATGTGATGTGTGAGGCAGTGTGACGCAGTGTGATGGAAACAGTATTAGTAGTATTTACAGTAGTATTTGTAGTACTTGCAGTACTGGAGTCAGGGCATCCTCTCCCTTTAATTATTTGTAAGAGTATTAGTAGTATTACATTTCACTGTGACGCAGTGTGATGGAAACAGTATTAGTAGTATTTACAGCAGTATTTGAAGTACTTCCAGGGTGTCAGGGCATCCTCTCTGTTTAATGATTAGTGAAAGTATTAGTAGTAGTAATACAATGCAGCGAAACAGTGACACTCTGCAGTGTGACAGAGTGAGATGAATGTGATGGAGTGTGACGGAGTGTGATTAAATGTGACAGAGTGTGATGCAGTGTGATGCATGTGTGAGGGGCGGCTGTGGCTCAGAGGCAGAGTGGGTCATCCACTAATCGGAAGGTTGTTGGTACGATCCCCAGCTTCTCCCGCCACGTGTTGAAGTATCCTTGGGCAAGATACTGAACCCCAAATTGCTCCTGATGATGTGCATCGGTGTGTGAATGTGTATGAATGCGTTAGTTTCTGTTCGATGGGCTTTGCCATCACTGAGTGAATGTGTGTGAAAGGGTGAATGTGGCACGTAGTGTAAAAGCGCTTTGAGTGGTCGCAAGACTAGAAAGGCGCTATACAAGTACAGGTCCATTTACCATTACCATTTACCAAGTACTGTGACGCAGTGTGATGCAGTGCGACGCAGTGTGATTAAATGTGACTGAATATGATGCAGTGTGATTAAATGTGACAGTGTGAGGCAGTATGATGCAGTGCGATGCAGCGTGACTAAATGTGACACAGTGTGATGCAGTGTGACAGAGTGTGATTGAATGTGACGGAGTGTGATGCAGTGCAACGCAGTGTGACAGAGTGTGATTGAATGTGACTGAGTTTGACTGAATATGACGCAGTGTGATTAAATGTGACAGTGTGATGCAGTGCGACAGAGTGTGACTGAATGTGATGGAGTGCGACGCAGTGTGACTGAGTGTGACTGAATGTCACTGAATGTGACACAGTGTGATGTACTGTGACACAGTGTGATGTACTGTGACGCAGTGTGATTAAATGTGACAGTGTGACGCAGTGTGATTAAATGTGACAGTGTGACGCAGTGTGATTAAATGTGACAGTGTGACGCAGTGTGATTAAATGTGACTGAATGTGATGCAGTGTGATTAAATGTGACTGAATGTGATGCAGTGTGATTAAATGTGACTGAATGTGATGCAGTGTGATGTACTGTGCTTAAATGTGACTGAATGTGATGCAGTGTGATGTACTGTGATTAAATGTGATGTACTGTGATGCAGTGTGATGCAGTGTGATTAAATGTGACTGAATGTGACTGAATGTGATGGAGTGTGATGCAGTACGACGCAGTGCAACGCAGTGTGATTAAATGTGACTGAATGTGATGCAGTGTGATGCAGTGTGATTAAATGTGACTGAATGTGATGCAGTGTGATGTACTGTGATGTACTGTGACAGTGTGATGCAGTGTGATGCAGCATGATTAAATGTGACTGAATGTGATGCACTGTGATGTACTGTGATGTACTGTGACGCAGTGTGATGCAGTGTGATGCAGCATGATTAAATGTGACTGAATGTTATGCACTGTGATGTATTGTGATGCAGTGTGACGCAGTGCTATTAAATGTGATACAGTGTGATGCAGTTTGATGCAATGTGACGCAGTGGGACGCAGTGTGATTAAATGTGACTGAATGTGATGCAGTGTGATGCAGTGTGATAAAATGTGACTGAATGTGATGCAGTGTGATGTACTGTGATGCAGTGTGACGCAGTGTGATTAAATGTGACTGAATGTGATGCAGTGTGATGCAGTGTGATGCAGTGTGATTAAATGTGACTGAATGTGATGCACTGTGATGTACTGTGATGCAGTGTGATGCAGTCTGATGCAGCATGACTAAATGTGACTGAATGTGATGCATTGTGATGTATTGTGATGTATTGTGATGCAGGGCGACACAGTGTGATTAAATGTGACTGAATGTGATGCAGTGTGATGTACTGTGATGCAGTGTGATGCAATGTGATTAAATGTGACTGAATGTGATGCAGTGTGATGTACTGTGATGTACTGTGATGCAGTGTGATGCAGTGTGATTAAATGTGACTGAATGTGATGCAGTGTGATGTACTGTGATGTACTGTGATGCAGTGTGATGCAGTGTGATTAAATGTGACTGAATGTGATGCAGTGTGATGCAATGTGATTAAATGTGACTGAATGTGATGCAGTGTGATGTACTGTGACGCAGTGTGATGCAATGTGATTAAATGTGACTGAATGTGATGCAGTGTGATGCAGTGTGATTAAATGTGACTGAATGTGATGCAGTGTGATGTACTGTGACGCAGTGTGATGCAATGTGATTAAATGTGACTGAATGTGATGCAGTGTGATGCAGTGTGATTAAATGTGACTGAATGTGATGCAGTGTGATGCAGTGTGACATCCCAGTTTTGTCCTGCAGAAACACCAGTTTCAACTCCGCTGTGATTGGTCCCATGAACGACCAAAATACAACAGAAAACATTTACAGCAACAAACTCAAAGCAGCTGAAGATCAACAACAAACCAAAAACAAACAGTGAGTGTGTGTACTGTATGTACTCACTGTGTGTACTCACTGTGTGTGTGTATTGTATGTACTCACTGTGTGTACTCACTGTGTGTACCCAGTGTGTACAGTGTGTACACACAGTGTGTACTGTATGTAGTCACTGTGTGTACTCACTGTGTGTGTGTGTGTGTGTGTGTGTGTGTGTGTGTGTACTGTATGTACTCACAGTGTGTCGGGGGTCAGCAGGTCGTGGTCGGCTCTCAGAGGAACGCAGTGACGCTTCATAAAAGCTCCGTCCTCAAACTGTTGCTGCCGCAGCAACCACACAAAGACACTGAACACACAGACACACAGGGTGGGGGAGGGGAGAAGATGACATCAGCAGCTCTGATTGGTTGGTTTGACAGAGGAAGGCGGATTAAACTGAGCAGGTCGTCAGGACTAATTAACCTGACGAGACCACAGACTGTTTACATCAGCACTCACTGTGCGTGTGTGTGTGTGTGTGTGTGTGTGTGTGTGTATGTGTTTATTATTACATTGTATTATATTACATTATATTACATTATATTATTTTATATTATATTATTACATTACATTACATTATATTACATTATACTACATTACATTACATTACATTATATTATATTATATTACATTATATTATTACATTATATTAAATTATATTATATAATAATAATTGTATATCTTCCTGAACACCTGTGCTCTGTGCTCTCTGATTGTCATCCAGGTGTGTTCTCTGGTTGGTCTGCAGGTGTTGGAGGGTCCTGCGGTTCACTTGAACCCTCTGGCTCAGAGACAGAAAGCCCCCCTGGTCTCTAGCAAGTGTGACGCAGGTCCAGGTGTGCACCAGGAGTTCGGAAGAGTCACAGCTCATCAGACTGTTCAGGTGGGTCTGTAAGTGGACCTTACGTATTGAGACGCAGCTGGACACAGGGGAGTCCTCATCACTGCTGCAGGAGGCAGAGCCAGACGGGGGGTGGGCCAGGTCCAATACTTGTGCTGCTGAGCTTCTGGACCCCATCACCATGTGAAGAGTTGAGTTAGCTGACTGGAGTTCAGCAGCACAACAGAACAGATAATCATCAGACTAAATAAGACAGGAAACACTACTGGTGACTGCAGTTAAATGAATAATTCACATAGTTTGAATGTATGAACCTATGGCTCGCGAGCCAGGTGTGGCTCTTTTGATGATTGCATCTGGCTCGCAGATTTCGGCTTTTCAGATAAAACATAAAATATTATCACTTGTTTTAATCCATCCATCGATTTTCCACTGCTCATGTCCTGTTCAGGGCTGCAGTTGGCTGCAGGAGCAATTGTCCATTATTTAAATTGGATGATAGTAGCCTACGTTGGCCGTTGCTGGGTAATCAGGTAAACGCCCCCTTTTGAATCAGTCTGCTCGGTCATTAGGTCAAAGTTAACCTTTCGACGAAGAAGATGGCGAAAAGAAAAAAAGATGATGAGTATCGTACATTTCAGGACGAATGGACTGAAGAATTCGCCTTTGTGGAGAGAGCAGGTTCTGCGGTGTGCCTAATTTGCAATGACAAAATTGCGTCGATGAAACGGTCGAATGTAAAGCGGCACTTCGACACACGCCATGCTACCTTTGCATCAAAATACCCTGCGGGAGACAGCAGGAAGAAAGCGTGCCAAGAGCTACTGAGCAGGGTGCAAGCTAGCCAGCAGCAACTCCGCGTATGGACCCGGCAAGGTGACTATAATTCCGCTAGTTTTGCTGGATCTCTAGCAATAGTGAGGAACGGAAAACCATTCACAGATGGCGAGTATGCTAAAACGTTCATGCTGGATGTAGCCAATGAACTTTTTGATGATCTTCCGAACAAAGACAAGATAATCAAACGGATACAAGACATGCCTCTGTCGGCAAGAACTGTTCATGATCGTACCATCATGATGGCAAACCAAGTCGAGGAAACGCAAGTGAAGGACATAAATGCAGCGCCGTTCTTTTCCCTGGCTTTGGATGAGTCAACAGACGTAAGTCATTTGTCACAGTTCAGTGTGATTGCAAGATATGCTGCTGGTGACACACTGCACGAAGAAAGTCTTGCTATTCTGCCAATAAAAGGGTCCACAAGAGGTGAAGATTTATTCAAGTCTTTCATGGAGTTCGCTCATGAAAAAAATCTGCCTATGGATAAACTTCTCTCAGTGTGTACTGATGGTGCTCCGTGTATGGTGGGGAAATACAAAGGATTTGTGGCGCTTCTCCGTGAACATGAAAATAGACCCATCCTAAGTTTCCATTGCATTCTACACCAGGAGGCACTTTGTGCTCAGATGTGTGACGGGCAGCTTGGCGAAGTGATGTCGCTGGTCATTCATGTGATCAACTTTATTGTTGCCCGAGCCTTAAATGATCGCCAGTTTAAAACACTGCTGGATGAAGTTGGAAATAACTATCACGGTCTGCTTTTGCACAGCAATGTGTGTTGGTTGTCAAGAGGGAAGGTGCTTAGCCGTTTTGCGGCTTGCCTGAACGAAATCCGGACTTTCCTTGAAATGAAAGGCATCGAGAATCTTGAGCTAGTTGAAACTGAGTGGCTCCTCAAGTTTTACTATCTCGTGGATATGACTGAACATCTGAACCAGCTCAACGTGAAAATGCAAGGCATTGGAAATACAGTGTTATCCCTTCAACACGCCGTGTTTGCTTTTGAAAACAAGTTGGAGCTCTTTATCATGGATCTTGAAACAGGTCGTTTACTACATTTTGAAAAACTGAGACAATTTAAAGATGCATGCACAGCAAGTGAGCCCACTCAAAACTTTGATCTCCACCAGCTAGCTGGCTTCACATCCAGTCTCCTACAGTCGTTCAAAGCACGCTTTGGAGAATTTCGAGAGCACACTCGTCTTTTTAAGTTCATCACCCATCCAAACGAGTGTTCACTGAACACAGCCGACCTGAGTTACATTCCTGATGTCTCCCTCAGAGATTTTGAAGCAGAAGTGGCTGACCTAAAGGCCTCAGACATGTGGGTGAATAAGTTCAAGTCACTGAATGAAGATTTGGAAAGAATCGCACGACAGAAAGCGGAGTTGGCGAGCAAGCACATGTGGACAGAAATGAAAAAACTTCAACCCGAAGACCAGCTGATTATCAAAACTTGGAACGCGCTTCCTGTCACATACGACACACTGAAGCGTGTGAGTATTGCTGTATTGACCATGTTTGGATCTACGTATTCATGTGAGCAGTCATTTTCACACCACAAAAACATCAAGTCCAACCTACGATCACATTTAATGGATGAAAGCCTCAACGCCTGCATGAAGCTTAACCTCACCAAGTACCAACCAGACTACAAAGCCATCAGCAAATCCATGCAGCACCAGAAGTCGCATTAATGGTGAGTATTATAACATTATTTAAAATAATAAATTCAGAGGCTTATTATACTCACATTTAGTTGAATTCAGTCTTAAAATATATTATATGGCTCTCACTGAAATCAATTTCCAAATATTTTGCTTTCATGGCTCTCTGAGTCAAAAAGGTTCCCGACCCCTGTACTAGCAGGTCATTGAACCAGCTTATTCATATATTGGGCTTTTATTAAAGAGACCAGAAGAGATTCAGACAAACACAGACTGCTAGAGAATACTGAGTTAAAATAAAATCAACAGACCAGAAACACACAAACATGAACATTGTTTCCACCTACAGTCAGTAAAGAGCATCAATGAACACAAAGAACTCACACTGTCACTGTCACACAGTTTATACTACTACTATTATCAGTACTATTACTATTATTATTACTACTACTACTAATATCGGTACTATTACTACTACTACTAATATTACTACTACTACTAGAAGAAAATAAGAACAACCCTAGGTTCCTCTTCAGCACTGTAGCCAGGCTGACAGAGAGTCACAGCTCTATTGAGCCACATATCCTCATAAACTTAAGTAGCAACGACTTCATGAGCTTCTTCTATAATAAAATGATTACTATTAGAGAGAAAATTAGTCACCAAATGCCCTCAACAGGTATCACTGGCTCTCCAAGTTTAGGAACTTTAACTGATGTAAACCCAGATATATATTTAGAATGTTTTTCCACTATCAATCTTCATCAGTTAATTTCAATAATTTCTACATCAAAGCCACCAAACCTGTCTGTTGGACCCGATCCCAACTAGGCTGCTTAAAGAAGTTGTTCCCTTAATTGGCACTTCTTTACTGGATATGATTAATCTTTCTTTATTGTCAGGATATGTACCACAGTCCTTTAAAGTAGCTGTAATTAAACCCCTTCTTAAAAAGTCCACTCTTGACCCCAGGGGTTTTAGCAAACTATAGACCGATTTCTAACCTCCCCTTCCTCTCTAAGATTCTGGAGAAAGTAGTCGCCAAAGAGTTGTGTGACCTTCTACATAACAATAGTTTATTTGAGGATTTTCAGTCAGGATTTAGAGTTCATCATAGCACAGAGACAGCTCTGGTTAAAGTTAATAATGACCTTTTGATTGCTTCCGACAATGGACTTGTCTCTGTACTTGCATTATAAGATCTTAGTGCTGCATTTGACACCATTGACCATAATATTCTTTTACAGAGACTTGAGCATTTGGCATTAAAGGAACCACACTAAGCTGGTTTAAGTCATATTTATCAGATCGCTCGCAGTTTGTACATGTTAACGATGAATCTTCAATAAATACTACAGTTAGTAATGGAGTTCCGCAAGGTTCTGTACTTAGACCAATAATTCAATTCAATTCAATTTTATTTGTATAGCGCCAATTCATAACAGAAGTTATCTCAGGACACTTTTCCAAATAGACCACATACCAAAAATCGTAAAAGTTGTGCTATTTGTGCATGTACATTAAAGGGCGTGTCCGTGGCGTGCCCTCAAAGTTGGCCAGGTTGAATCAAATGTCAAACTGTGATGTCATTTCCGGCATTTTGCAATGATTTTCAGCGTTTTTTGCGTTGTATTTGAACAAACTCCTCCTAGAGAATTTATCAGATCTGCTTCAAAATTAGTCAGTACAGTCAAAAAATGGCGCTGATTAAAAGTTGTGCTATTTGTGACTGTACGTTAAAGGGCGTGTCCGTGGCGTTCCCTCAAAGTTGGCCAGGTTGAATCGAATGTCAAACTGTGATGCTATTTCTGGCATTTAAGGGCTTCTGTTTTAACTAACTTCTCCTACAGATTTGATCAGATTGACTTCAAATTCAATCACTTCAATCTGCACACATTGGTTATCAAAAGTTGTGCTATTTCTGACTGTATGTTTAACCGTGTGCCCGTGACGACGTGTCGAATTCCACCAATTGGCCATCAAACAGATAGTACTCATATCTTCAGTGTACAGTCCCACCCTGAACACGTCCTCATAACTTCAGTGTACATGATCCAATCTCAATGAAACTTCACGTGTTTGATAACAGTCCCACCCTGAACACGTCTACATGACAATATTCAGACATAGTGATAGCGCCATCTACTGGCAATAGGAAGTAAGCGCTGCGTGGTGATTTTGAGCTGAGTTACGTGAAATGACCGTGCCGGTGACGACTTGTCGATTTCAGCAGATTCGCCATAAAACAGCACTCATAACTTCAGTGTGCAATGTCCAATCTCCAATAAACTTCATATATTCTGTAACAGTCTCGCCCTTAACACGTCCTCGTAACTTCAGCGTACGTGGTCCAATCTCAATGAAACTTCACGTGTGTGATAACAGTCCCGCCCTGAACTTGTCTGCATGACAATATTAAGACATAGTGATAGCGCTACCTACTGTCAACAGGAAGTAATCGCTGCGTGGCGATTTTGAGCTGATTTACGTGAAATTTCATGTCTTGGTCCGCACGTGTAACGATGGCACGCGACGCAGCCGCAGCACGCCCCGAGTTGCGTGGAGTGCGAGGTCCCGTCCAACGCTGCTTGCAGCTTTAATATTATTATTACTACAGTTACTATTGTCATTGCTCATTGTCCCCCATCGTTGCTGTTGTCGTCGTCGTCATCATCTTCTTCATGTTCATCATCATCAGTCACTACTACTGGTGTAGTTGTTGCTACTGTTGTTGCTGTACAACTGTCTGTCTATCTGTCTGTCTGTCTCTGTCTCTCTCTTTCTCTCTCTCTCTCTCTCTCTCACTCTCACTCTCTCTATACAAATAAAATTGAATTGAATTGAATTGAACTAATATACTAATAATACTACTAATATTACTACTACTACTAATATCAGTAATATTACTACTAGTAGTAGCTGTACACTTTAAACTGGCTGAATCCCTGGAGGTTAATTAATAAGACATGAAGCTGACACACACACACAGACACACACACACACACACACACACACAAACACACAGACACACACACACACACAGACAGACACAGACACACACAGATGCTTCAGTAGAGCGAACAAACTGTTGACGTCTGTTGTGACATTTTGCCTCCTTTGTTATTCATGTGCGCATATAAAAATAATGTGTTTAATGGTAATTAAATATATATAATATAGATTTATTACATCATATATATTATATAGATTTATTACATCATATATATATATTATATATAATAATAACACTATATCTGTCTGTCTGTCTGTCTGTCCGTCTGTCTCTACAGGTTTTGGATCCCACTGTTGCTGGGGGGGTCAATCAGACCAACATTTGATTATCTGCTCTCAGACGCTGAGAAGGTGAACAGACTGCCAAGCTTCAAAAGACAACTGACCCAGAGACACAGACCCAGAGACACTGACCTACAGACACTGAACCAGAGACACTGACCCAAAGACACTGACCTACAGACATTGACCTACAAACACTGACCCAGAGACACTGACCTACAGACACTGACCAAAAGACACAGACCTACAGACACTGACCCAAAGACACTGACCCAGAGACACTCACCTACTGACACTGACGCAGAGACACTGACCCAAAGACACTGACCTACAGACACTGACCCAGAGACACTGACCAACAGACACTGACCCAAAGACACTGACCAACAGACACTGACCCAAAGACACTGACCCAGAGACACTGACCTACAGACACTGATCCAGAGACACTGACCCAGAGACACTGACCTACAGACACTGACCTACAGACACTGACCCAGAGACACTGACCTACAGACACTGATCCAGAGACACTGACCTACATGGTCACAATCATAGGTGAGAAAAGTGCTGAAACACTGAATACTGTCTCTCTTTCCAATGACACGATGGGAGACGTATATTTGACATTTCAGATGACCTCCAAGAACAACTGACAGAACATCAAACAGACAAACATGAAATATGAGCAATATTGTTGCAAATTTTGCACATAAAAACAAACAAAAGTCATATACTTTTTTGAAAAGGAATAAGCTGATGAAGCTGACAAGTGACCAATGTTTACAGTTTAAAAAAGTTTTGAATGTTACTGTTAAGTCTATAAAAATGCACATCTCAGTGAATCATTTGCATTATCTCTGTTTTGAGAATCACACAGACTGAGCAGTCTTGTTTAAATGTTAAAAATTCAGTTAATAAACTGAACTTGGAAATTGTTTTAAGTTGTTGCAGATGTTATCTCGGCAATATTAACCTATTGCCAGCAACTCATACAGTGGTTTGTACAGATAAATATTATCAGGTTCTCAATAGTATTAAAATTCAGGGGGGGGCGTGAAAAAATTTCTGTCCCCTAGGGGGGGCATGACAGAAAATAATTGAGAACGACTGCATTAATGGGACATGAATGAGTGCAGAAAGAGAGAGGAAGAGAGGAGCTCAGTGCACCATGGGAAATCCCCCGATAGTCTAGGCCTATAGCAGCATAACTAAGGGATGGTTCAGGACTCACCTGATCCAGCCCTAACTATAAGCTTTATCAAAGAGGAATGTCTTAAGCCTACTCTTGAATGTGGAGAGGGTGTCTGCCTCCCGAACCACAACTGGAAGCTGGTTCCACAGGAGAGGAGCTTGGTAACTGAAGGCTCTGGCTCCTGTTCTACTTTTAGAGACTATAGGAACCACAAGTAGCCCAGCATTCAGAGAACGTAGTGTTCTAGTGGGGTAATAGGGTACTATGAGCTCTTTAAGATATGAAGGGGCCTGACCATGAAGAGCTTTATAGGTGAGGAGGAGGATTTTAAATTCAATTCTACATTTTATAGGGAGCCAATGCAGAGAAGCTAGTACAGGAGAGATGTGATCTCTTTTTCTAGTTCCTGTCAGTACTCGTGCTGCAGCGTTCTGAATTAATTGGAGCGTTTTAATGGACTTATTGGGGCAACCTGATAATAAAGAGTTGCAGTAATCCAGCCTAGAAGTAACTATTTAAAGTTCCTGATCCGATAATTGTATTTATTTAAATTAATTTCTTTGGGCTTATATTGCCTTTAGAGATAGAGACAGCTGAAGATAGAGAGGAAGGGGGGACAGAGAGGGGGGATGACACGCAGCAAAGGGCCGCATGTCGGATTCAAACCCTGGGCCGCTGCAGCAAGGACTCTCTCTCCACCCACTGAGCTAACCGGGTGCCCTCTACTTATTCCTACAATGTCTTTGTTTCTCAGCCTCTAGGAATGAACTGTTGGATTACATTCATTAATGATGTTTGTGGTTGCAGCGGCGTGTTGAGCTCAGAGAGACATTTAAAGTCTAGAAATCTGATATTTCATGTTATTTTCTGCGCCATTCATTTCATCAGGATACTGAGCTAGAGCCAGATATATTTATCAGATTTAAACAGTAGGGGGCGCTACAGCCCAGCAGCACTCAGTTCAGAGGACACAGGCTGGATGTCCTAAGTCATTGCTTCATCCACAGCCTGAGATCATTTTATTCAATTTAATATATATATTTAACGTATTATTGTGTGTGTGTGTGTGTGAGTGTGCGTGCGTGTGACTCATACTCCGGTCCAGTAGGTGGCGGTATGAATCTTCAAAGTAAATGATTGCACTCCGTCATGATAGAGAAGAAGAAGTTATTGAAGTTTGCCGCGCTCCTACATCTCCCACAATGCACCTGGTCCAGGAAATGACGTGCCCCGCTGCCAACATCCCGCCGGTCTCCCGCGTGCAGTGTGTTGTGGTGGAGCCAACATGGCGGCTCCTTTGGAGGTGATTGTGAGCAGTGACTCCGGCTCTCAGCTGTGGAACAGCACCGTGTTCGACCTGCACAGCGGCTCCAGCCTGTTGTCCTACCGGGGAGGGAACAGCTCCGCCCGGACACTCACCGTCCTCGGCGGCCAGTACCTGATGTCCGCTCAGCTGGGCAAGAACTTCATCAACGTGTGGGAGATCCAGAGGAAGGTAGGCTGAACACACCAATAACACACCTGAAAACACGTGAACACACCTGCTGCGTGTCCCCGCACGAACACGCCATCCACTGCGGGGATAGGTGGTGGGAAAACCCTTAATGACTCCTGAACATAGACACCAGAATCCCTTTAAAAATCTGCCATTTTAAACAGGACGCGGTTCTGTCATCGTGAATATGTCCTTTAATACAACATGTGACACACATTATTGATGAGTCCGATCTGCTTGTTAATTCGGCATAAAACATCCACCAGACTTAATTGAAATGTGTCTGTATGTATGCATGTGTATATACACTACTCACACAAAGTTAGGGATATTCGGCTTTCGGATGAAATTTCAGAATGCACATAAAATGCACTATAACCTTTCCAGGTGATCTTAATTTGACCTTCTACTTAAATGCCCTACTTTCATGATATAATATCACTGTAGCATCAACTTTTTACATTTTCCATAAATTTCACCCGAAAGTGGAATATCCCTAACAGTACTTAGCTAGGTGCGACGTGTCAAAGTAACATACACATGAATCTCAGGACCCAAGAAAATGTTACTGATCAGACCGGGCCACCTTCTTCCATTGCTCATTGGTCCAGTTCTGATGCTCACATTGTAGGTGGACAGTGGACGGGGGGTCAGTATGGACTCCCTGACTGGTCCCAGACCAGCAGACTGCTCTGCACTGTGTGTTCTGACCCCTTTCTATCAGAACCAGCATTAACTGTTTCAGCAGTTTGAGCTACAGAAGCTCGTCTGTTGGATCGGACCACACGGGCCAGCCTTCACTCCCCACCTGTATCAATGAGCCTCGGTCCCCCATGACCCTGTCTCTGGTTCTGTTCCTTCCTTGGACCACTATTGATAGGTACTGACCTCTGCAGACCGGGAACCCCCCACAAGAGCTGCAGGTTTGGAGATGTTCTGACTAGGGATGCACCGATTCACATTTTTTCACTTCTGATCCGATCCCGATACCTGAATTTGGATATCGGCCGATACCGATACTATTCCGATACCAGAGCTCTGTTTTCTTTAATATTATTATTATCATTGTTGTTGATTTTATATGAGATAATATGAATAAACTCCTCAACATATGTACGTATGTATGTATGCATGTATGTCCCAAAAGGCAACTTGAGGTAAGTATAAGGTCAGAAAAGGAAGTCAGAAAAACAGAAAATCCTTTTAACAGGAAAAATCCCATCCTGAAAACAAATATGCAACTGTAAGGGTTTCAAATTTATTGTCATGTCAATATTTATTAAATTCCCCAAATGTCAAATATTTGAGTCTTGAAATATAAGAAAAGTGCAATAAGTGTAAACATCTTACACACACACTATCAATAAAACAGTGTGCATCTGAACAGCACAAATCAAGTACACTGGCTCTTGTAGCATCAATTATCTGAAAATATAAGAAAAGTGCAATAACTGTAAACATCTAACACACACTCGCTCGGTAATCCCTTTAGCTTTCCCGTTGTCTGCCTGGAGTTTACCTTGTTTCTGGAATGACTCCAGAAGTGATTCCTGACAGCTCACCTAAAAAATCCTCGTGCTGTTTCGTGTGGTGCTTTTTTAAATGTTTGATTGCGTTCGTAGTGTTGTACGACACGAGGGCGCTTCCGCGTCTCTGAATTACGGCTTTGCAAACATTGCATTTTGCTGTCTTGCTCTGCGGTGTTTCCAGTGTAAAGTATTTCCACACAGCGGACATGTTGGCTAGCCACAATGCTGCTCAATGCTATCCTGCTAGCTGGCTGCAAACTGTGGAATGGATTTCCTGAGCGGGGGCGTGTCTCATAACTCTGTGTCTCATTGAGCCGCACCTCCGTTCAGGAAATCCATCCCACAGTTTGCAGCCAGCTAGCAGACTGGCCGGCAGGAATCACCTGTGGAGTCATTCCAGCAGACAACGTTAAAGCGCAGACATGGCTCATGGATATCGGAAATCTGCGCAGGTTGGATCGGTCCCGATACGGGATCGGATCGGCCCCATCCCTAGTTCTGACCCAGTCGTCCATCACAATGTGGTTCTTGTCAAAGATCACGCTGCCCATTTTTCCTTCTTCTAACACATCAACTCTGTTCACTTTCTGCCTGATATACCCCCCCACTGACAGGAGCCCTGATATATACCCCCCCCACTGACAGGAGCCCTGATATATACCCCCCCCCCACTGACAGGAGCCCTGATATATACCCCCCCCACTGACAGGAGCCCTGATATATACCCCCCCCCACTGACAGGAGCCCTGATATACACCCCCCCCCCCACTGACAGGAGCCCTGATTTATTAGTAGTATTTGTACACAGTATTAGTAATACTTGTACACAGAGTACTGCAGTATTATGATGTCACTTCCTGTCTGTAGGACCAGCTGCAGCAGAAGATCGTGTGTCCAGGTGTGGTCACCTGTCTGACTGCCTCACCTGATGGTCTGTTCCTGGCTGCTGCTGTTGCTGAGGCTGTTTACCTGTGGGAGGTGAGTCTTCTTCTGTGCTTCAATAATAATGAGACGAAGGTGATCAGTAATCAATAATCAAACACTCACTGTGTTAGGAACAGCAGGTACTCAGAGCCTGGTTAGGGTTGAGACAGACAGTGAGACAGACAATGAGACAGACAGTGAGACAGACACACAGTGAAACAGACAGTCAGACAGCGAAACAGACAGTTAGACAGAAAGTGAGACCGACAGTGAAACAGACAGTGAAACAGACGGACAGACAGGCCGACAGAAAATGAGACTGACAGACAGACAGTGAGACAGACAGTGAAACAGACAAACAAACCGTCAGTGAGACCGACAGACAGACAAACAGACAGAAAGTGACACAGACAGTGAGACAGACAGAAAGTGACACAGACAGTGAGACAGACAGAAAGTGACACAGACAGTGAGACAGACAGAAAGTGACACAGACAGTGAGACAGACAGAAAGTGACACAGACAGTGAGACAGACAAACAGACAGAAAGTGAGACAGACAAACAGACAGAAAGTGACACAGACAGTGAGACAGACAAACAGACAGAAAGTGACACAGACAGTGAGACAGACAAACAGACAGAAAGTGACACAGACAGTGAGACAGACAAACAGACCGACAGTGAAACAGACAGTGAGACAGACAAACAGACAGAAAGTGACACAGACAGTGAGACAGACAAACAGACAGAAAGTGACACAGACAGTGAGACAGACAAACAGACCGACAGTGAAACAGACAGACAGGGTTGGTTCCTCAGTTGCAGCTTTAATCCATCTGCTCACGTCTCACCAACCAAACTGCTTCACCTCTCAGCCTGAAGGGGCGCTCTGTCCCCACAGGGAGTGCTATATAACACCGCTCTGTGATTGGCTCAGCTATATAACACCTGCTTTGTGATTGGTTCAGGTGTCCACAGGTAAACTGCTGTCTGTCCTCAGTCGTCACTATCAGGACGTCACCTGTCTGAAGTTCACAGACGACGGCAGCCATTTTGTTTCTGGAGGAAAAGACAACCTGGCTCTGGTGTGGAGTCTGTTCAGGTAAGACTCACCTGAACAGGTATCAGCTGAACACATTCACCCAGCAGTCCTTCTGTTCCAGATATGTCATTATTGATTCCTCGTCAATGCCAGTTTCTGAAATTCAAGTGAACATCTGAAGCACCATAAATAAAACTCATCTTCATCATTCTGCACTGACTCAAATCATCAACTTCATTAATGAAGATTAATTAAGTTACATGAACAGAGTTTTTAATGGCAATTGATCAGAGACAGAGATTGAACAACATCAGTGAAATAATTCAACATTTTCACCTTTTGACCTCAGTTTTCTAAACAAACAGCTGTTTCCTGTTTGTGTTTCAGTGTGATCCAGCTGGATTTAAGCCACACCCCTGAACCGCGCCACGTCCTGTCCCGTCACTCTCTACCCATCACAGACCTGCACTGCGGCATGATGGGAGCTCAGGCCAGAGTCGCCACGGCATCCTTAGATCAGACTGTGAAGGTAACACACATACACACACACTTATTATTATTATTAGGGACCAAGCCAGCGACCGCTGGAGGTCCCTATTGTATTTGCTATGTTTCTTACCTATTATTTTTAGAGCCTTTGACTGCATTTTTGCCCCCCTGAACATTTACGAAAACTCAATTTTATTTGGCAGAGTTGTCAGGCCTGGTGAAAAATTGGATATTCTATGCGTTGCTTTCGTGTCGGCCACTTGGTGGCGCTAGTATTGAGAAAAGTGCGTTGACATCTTGGTTACTTAATAACTCCCACATCGTTTGTCGCACATTCAAAAACCTTATATCCACGCGTTCGGTGAATGGAGCTGAATCTCCCTATATAGGCCCCGCCCACTTCCGCCTGTAATTTTTTTTTTCGTTAAACTGCAAAATATCCTTAAACTACTTTTTCGTGTTCCTGCTACACGCTTTGTCCGATTTGCCTGATATTTTTCACGCAGCACCTGGGGAACGTCCTGAAAAAAGTAATTTGAAAAATTTTTGATATTTCAAAAAAATAAAGGCTTTATAAAATTAGCACTTCCTATAAATTTTTTGTCAAAAAAGGAAGTGGACCATTTCTCCATATTGGTATGTCCGATTGACACCAAGCTTGGGTCAATAGTTCCCCATGTCTTCCTTAGGTATCGTGCACAATTTCAGGCCATCGCTACAAGTTGGCGCTCTTCAAAATGAAGAAGTTCATATCTCCGCATCGACATGTGATTAAAATGAAACTTGGTACGATGCTTGCCCATGGCTCCCTGAGGCTCCCTAAAAAAATTGTCATCGATCCGCCACTAGGTGGCAGTTAGTTACAGTATGTTGCTGATTAGAAGTTGTGCTATTTGTACACGTACGTTGAAGGGCATGTCCGTGGCGTGCCGTCAAAGTAGCCGCTGCGATGCGATTATGATCTGATTTCTGCAAAATTTTCATGTTGTGGTCCGCACGTGTTACGACGGCACGTGAAGCGGCCGTAGCACACCCCGTGTTGCGTGGAGTGCGAGGGACCGTTCATCGCTGCTTGTAGCTTTAATTAGTATTATTTATTAGTATATGCAGTATTGTACAGAATATAAACATTATTAGTAGTAGTAGTATTATTATTAGTCTTATTTATTAGTATATGCAGTATTGTACAGAATATAAACATTATTAGTAGTAGTCTTATTATTACAGAATATAAACATAATTTTTTAGTGTTCTGTGAGAATTAACTGAAGCGACAGTGAAACCTGTATTTAGCAATCAGGTGGTGCGACTGTGATCACCTCCGATCAGAATGATTAATATCTTTAAACAGCGAGCGTGTCCTCTCGTCCTCCTCAGATCCATTTTTAATTTTGGTAAAATCCCCTCTGATATAAATCACAAGAGGCGGAGTCACAGTAATGACACGTCAGCTTGCTGTGACATCGTAACGGATGGTCAGGAGGTTTTGAACACGCGCCGAGGCGTCTCTGCTGCACACATTTTAAATGATCAGATTTTTAAGTGGAGTCTGGAACAGAAACAATCTTTATTCTGCAGAGCCAGCAGCGCAGGGGGTCAGCTGGCAGCAGAGACGAATAACATCCTGTCACCGTTACTACACTTCACTCTCTTTTTCTGTACCATAAAATGTATTTACATGGAAACTCAGATGAAGGATTACAGCGCTGCAGTGGTGTGTTCAATGCTGATTGGCCGGCGGCGGCTGAGTAGTCCTCTTTAATGGTGGATATCTGAAACATGTGATGATGACGTCCTGTTTCTTCTCTGAGGATGAAGATTTATCTGATGAACTCTGAAACTGGACCAAAAAATGACAGAAGTTTGGTGTTTAATGTTTGTGTTTCCTTTAGTACGACAAAAAAAACCTGGGTCAGGGTTACGGGTTAGATGGTCTTAGGGTTGGCGGTGAGGTGCTGCTGGTCTTCAGTCAGTCTCAGATTATGATGTTATGAATAATTATTATTATAAATGATAATCTTTGGCTCCTTTGTGTTCAGCCATGTTTAATCTCTGCTGTCTCTGTCTTCTTCCTTCCAGGTGTGGGAGTTGTCTTCAGGTGAGCTGCTCCTCTCTGTCCTGTTTGATGTGGAGATCATGTCTGTGACCTTTGACCCCTGCGAGTACTTCCTGTTCTGTGGAGGCAGTGACGGAAACATTTTCCAGGTGTCTCTATGTAGCCAAGTGAGTCACTCTTCACTTTACACCAGTAAAGACATTACTCTGATATACTATATTATTCATTATTGTACATTATTATACAATATTGTACATTATTATACAATATTGTACAGTATTATACAATATTGTACATTATTATACAATATTGTACATTATTATACACTATTGTACATTATTGCACAATATTGTGCAGCGTTATATTTACATTCACCAACCTAAATTCTATATCCTTCTTCCTATGCTGTAGGCCATACTACCTACATATCACCTGCCTGTAATGTTTAATAAGTGAACATTACTACTCTGCAGTCTGAACAGTCTGATTTGAACATTTCAAGAGAGGGATTGTTTTTACTTTATTTCAGCAATAATCCTCAGTGTCAGCGTTGCTCTCCAAACAGTAAAACACTGAAGGTGTATGTTCGTATTTCACAGTTCCTTAATGAGCTCATTAATCAGAGACGATCCTGTGTGCTTTTTAAGTAAAAACTACAACCGATAATATTTGAGTCAATGTAATTATGTGGATGAGGATAAATCCTGGAGAGTTTCTGTTGATTTGTGTCTTTATTCATTCATCTCAATCGTCTCCATCTTTTCTTCTCACTGACTCAACGCTGTTCTTTCTTTTCTGAGCAGATTTACATTTTAAAGCTTCACCGAGTTAATCCTCCAAACAAACGGAGAGCTCGTCCTCCTCAAACCTCCCCCGTCCTCCCCCCGAACTGATGATACTGTATTCAGTCTGTGAGGATGTGTAAATATCTGTACTCTGATCTGAAACCACTGCAGCTCCTCAATAAACGAATTCACGTAACTTAAACACTTGAGTAAGGATGAGGACATCAAACCATCGAGTTCTTTTGAGTCAAAGATAAGCACATCAGCCAGTGGGTGAGATTAATTCACTTTCATCTAGGGCGGTAACTGATTATCGGACAAAAATTTTATATTTATATGAATTATCGGGATAATTAAATTACAGCACGTGAATTATCAGTTCATTATTATAATAATTTATTTTAAATTCTAACATTATAGATAGGCTTTATGTTCTATGAAAGTCAAAGTATGTTTAAAAGGTTTTAAAGATGAAGACATTTGAGGAGTCAGAACGGTTGTTTTGTTTGTTGTGTAAACAATAGTGATGTCAGTTAGATTTGGTTAGATCATCCATCTTTGCTGTCTACATCTCAGCCTTTCTTGCCATCAACTATGTTAAAACTACAGGTTATGAACTTCTTTTTAAAATACAATAATATCAAATTATCAGCCATGAGAAGCAGTAAATGTTATCTATATGGTGCATCCGTAATTATGGATTAATCCGCACACTGTTTCAGTAAACTAGAAGAACTAAGGTCTTGAGACTAGATCTGTGTAAATCTTTTCATTGAGATTTTCAGGATATAACAAAAGGGCAGTGCTGGTCATCTTATGCATATAATAGACGAGTGACAAGCGTGGGTATACAATGTCAGCAGCTGAATGCGGGTGTATATTCACTATAAATTGTGTGTGAGTGGGCAGGGCAGTGTCCTTCCGCCTGAGCAGAATTGCCTGCTGAGCCAGAAGGGAAACAAAAGATAGAGCGCGTCATTTTACTGCAGTTAAATGCGTCTCTCCTCCGCTGACCCCAATAGAGTTTAGTATTTAGCACCTGAGATAGTGTCTGAAAGATCTCCTTCCAGTTCTTACTGGGGCATGACCAGTACAATAGAGAAACTTCAGCACTATTAGACTTATCACAGTACGAACTCACCTCATATGAGCCTTTGTACCATTTTGAACTGAATTAGGAAATGATGAGCCACATATCCCCATAAACTTAAGTAGCAATGACTTCATGAGCTTCTTCTATAATAAAATTATTACTATTAGAGAAAAAATTAATCACCAACTGCCATCAACAGTTATCATTGGCTCTCCAAGTTCAGGGACTTCTGTCAGTGTAAACTTAGATATATATTTAGACTGTTTTCCTGCTATCGATTTTCATCAGTTAACTTCAATAATTTCTTCATCGAAGCCATCAACCTGTCTATTAGACCCGATCCCAACTAGGCTGCTTAAAGAAGTTGTTCCCTTAATTGGCACTTCTTTACTGGATATGATTAATCTTTCTTTATTATCAGGATATGTACCACAGTCCTTTAAAGTAGCTGTAATTAAACCCCTTTTTAAAAAGCCCACTCTTGACCCAGGGGTTTTAGCCAACTATAGACCGATCTCTAACCTCCCCTTCCTCTCTAAGATTCTGGAGAAAGTAGTCGCCAAAGAGTTGTGTGACTTTCTACATAACAATAGTTTATTTGAGGATTTTCAGTCAGGATTTAGAGTTCATCATAGCACAGAGACAGCTCTGGTTAAAGTTAATAATGACCTTCTGACTGCTTCTGACAATGGACTTGTCTCTGTACTTGTATTATTAGATCTTAGTGCTGCATTTGACACCATTGACCATAATATTCTTTTACAGAGACTTGAGCATCAAATTTGCATTAAAGGAACCACACTAAGCTGGTTTAAGTCATATTTATCAGATCGTTCTCAGTTTGTACATGTTAACGATGAATCTTCAATAAATACTACAGTTAGTCATGGAGTTCCACAAGGTTCTGTACTTGGACCAATACTATTTACTTTATATATTCTCCCTTTAGGCAACATTATTAGGAATCACTCCATTAACTTTCACTGTTATGCAGATGATACGCAGTTATATCTATCAATCAAGCCCAATGAAATTAATCAATTATCTAAATTACAAACATGTCTTAAGGACATAAAATCCTGGATGACCTGCAATTTTCTGATGTTAAACTCAGAAAAAAACGAAATTCTTGTTCTTGGCCCCAAAAACCTCAGAGACTCACTGTCTAAAGATATAGTTACTCTAGATGGCATTAACTTGGCCTATAGCACCACTGTCAGGAATCTTGGAGTTATCTTTGATCAGGATTTGTCTTTTAACTCCCACATAAAGCAGACCTCTAGGACTGCCTTCTTTCATTTACGTAATATTAGAAAAATTAGACACATACTATCACAGACAGATGCAGAAAAACTAATCCATGCATTTGTTACTTCAAGGCTGGATTACTGCAACTCTTTATTATCAGGTTGCCCTAATAAGTCCATTAAAACGCTCCAATTAATTCAGAACGCTGCAGCACGAGAACTGACAGGAACTAGGAAAAGAGATCACATCTCTCCTGTACTAGCTTCTCTGCACTGGCTCCCTGTAAAATGTAGAATAGAATTTTTAAAATCCTTCTCCTCACCTATAAAGCTCTTCATGGTCAGGCCCCTTCATATCTTAAAGAGCTCATAGTACCCTATTACCCCTCTAGAACACTACGTTCTCTGAATGCTGGGCTACTTGTGGTTCCTATAGTCTCTAAAAGTAGAACAGGAGCCAGAGCCTTCAGTTACCAAGCTCCTCTCCTGTGGAACCAGAGTTCTTGTGCTTTCTCGTCTCGCAGGTTTTTGTCGATCCTGGTGGAGCCTCCTGCCATGGTCCTGCTAGATTGCCATTGCCAATACTGTTGTTGCTGTGCACCTGTCTGTCTGTCTCTCGCTCTCTCTCTCTCTGCCTCTCTTTCTCTCTCTCTCTCTCTCTCTCTCTCTCTCTCTCTCTCTCTCACCCCAGCTGGTCGAGACAGACGACCACCCACCTAGAGCCGGAGGATCTGTCCTAGGTTTCTGCCTTTTAACAGGCAGTTTTTCCTTGCCCCTGTCGCCAAGGTCTTGCTCATGGTGGTACTGTTGGGTCTCTGTAATTAATGTTTTAAAGAGTTCGGTCTAGACCTGCTCTATTTGAAAAGTGTCCTGAGATAACTTCTGTTATGAATTGGCGCTATACAAATAAAATTGAATTGAATTGAATGAGCACAGAGAGCTTCATGTATTTTCTGATAGAGGCCTAAATCCTCCTCCCATGTTGATCTGAGCTTGTCCATGGGGGCACGCCTCATGTCCGACACCATGCCATAAAGGTCTGAGATAAGCCTTTTGTGAATTGGATTTAAAGAGATGATTGTGTCAAAGATGGTTGTTGTAGCTGAGAAGCCGCAAATATACAAACTGAGGCTGGTGGATCTGTTACACTCGCCACTGTGTGTCGGTCAGAACACAATTAAACAATCCAGAATCCAATATACGTCCTTTATTGTAGGCTTTTGATGTAGGTATAGTGATGATTACAGATGTAGATGGCTATTCTATTCTATTAGTTGTGGTGCTTCAGAAACAAGAGATAACAAGTACAGTGTTATCAGACCAACCGTGTAACTATAAAATATACACCATTTCACAAATTAAATACTACGATCATCCTGTAAGGCCTAACCGGTGAGAAATTACTTATATCAACTTAAATGTCAATAATAACCTGCAGCCTGTGATGCAGCCCTTAATTGGATAATTAACATCACTAATCAGTAACACGAAGTTAATAATATAATTTCAGACTTATAATCTTAAATGATATACAACAGCATAAACCCATATTACAATGGAATATATGATGTAATAAAAATACAGGTAAACGACCAGGCTAGAGCTAACATTAATAGCATAGTAGCTAGCATACAGGCAAAATGGTAATCTAAGCACTTGAATCAGGGAGAAATAGCGGTCTCCACACAAAACCTAAAGAACAACAAAGAGGTAAATGAGGTAATTCAGGTAACTGGTGAAGACTGCACTAAAACAACAAACACTACAGGACACTTTTAATAGAGCGAAACTGCCTCCAGACAGTTTATTTAGTATTCAGTGTGTATTCTCCTGTATTATTAAGGAAATATATTGAAAAAGGGCTCAGTTAATATTAAATGGGGATAGGAATCAGAGGAACTTTATCAGGATTGAATCGGTGTCGAATGGTGGAATTTCCCTGGTATCACCTACATTTCTGGTGTGAACCGAGCGTAGAAACCTATGTGGGGACACTACAACGACGCACAGAAGACAGTAGGACAGTGCTGTGAGGACGGTATCAATACAGTTAGAACTGCTGATCCGCAGGTCTGGGATCAGTCAATCCTTGTTCCTATTGGTCGTCTGTAATGAATGTAACCAGAGGAATGGATCATAGCTGCCGTTTGTGCTGTTAAATACCGACAGTTTGAACCGTTTGTGTCTCTGCAGAATCTCAGTCGGGACAAATCCTTCCAGTCCGACAGCGACGGGAACCAGGTCTTCAAAGGGCACAGGTGAGACAACAGCCTGTCTGTGTTTACTCAAATAAACTCTTTAAAACAGTTTGAACAGTTGGGTATGACTGAGAAAATCAATTCTACGTGACCAGAAAGTTCTTTATTGATCCAGAGCATACTGAATTAAGACCAGATTCAGACTTTATTGAAAATAAACTAGTCTGAGTTGATTGTTGTGAACTTCGACCAATAGCACGTTATCCTGACAGAGCCGACTTCTGATTGGAAGGAGGATGCTATCGTAGCTGTTAGCTGTGTGTCAGAGACCTCGGACCTGGTCTCAGGATGAACCCTCTGTGATCTGAAGTCAGTCTATATGTCCCCTCAGGAACCTGGTCACGTGTCTGTCGGTGTCAATGGACGGGACTCTGCTACTTTCTGGTTCTCATGATGAGACGGTTCGACTGTGGGACGTCCAGAGCAAACAGAGCATCCGCTGCCTGACACACAAAGGTAAGCCACCCCCACTGTGACAAGCCCATGCCCACAATGTAATCCCCACAATGTAATCCCCACCCACACATCAGCCCCTCAGTTATGCCCTGCCCCCTCAGAATGATGTCATCAATAACAAAAAAGCCCACCAAGTCGGGGTACTGGTGATCTCAGCTCTGGCCAGACTTCCTGCTGCTTCATGATAAAAGCCCTCACATTCTTTCACAATAAAAGCACTCATGCTCCTTCATAATAAAAGCACAACACTTAGCTAATGGCTAATCACCCAGCTAATGATCCTCACAGCAAACACAGCTATATTAATATTTTATTATCAGTATAAATTCATTATATACTGATTTTTCTCTAGTTTGACTCCTGGTCTGTTATTGATGTTTTTGAGGATGTAGGTGCTGTATTGTCACTAGAGATGTGTTGATCATATTGATCGCGGTCAGACTCTGATGTTTCAGTTTGTGGAGGTGAAGGTGAATTTAACCTCTGTGGTTGATATAATTCCTCGTCTTTGCTGCTGCTGCTGGTTTATTAATGAAGCGTCTGACCTGCTGGCCTCCGTCTCCTCAGAGTAGCTTTTACTTTCCCGGCTCATTCATAATAAGTGATCGTGCTGCGGCTGACAGGAACATGAAGAAGAAACGCCCCGCCATGATCATGACTGGCACTTTGTAATTAACCAAATCCTCTCTGCACTGAAGGCCTCTTCACTTCAAACGGACTGTCAGGAGACGATAATCCCTCCTCTGGCTGGACAGACCGTCTTGTGGTCGTCCCCCACCCCCGTCACGTTTGCAGACTTTCTTCCTGCAGCTGGCGACGCCACTCACAAAGAACCAGATTGTTAAAAGAAAACTTCATCCTCCATGACGGCAGTACGTTAAACCGATCCGTCTCAGCTGCTTCTCATCTGTCTGTGTGTCGGGAAAACACCAGAGGATTACTTTAAATCAACCTGATTATTACAGCGTCTCACGATTATGATGAAATATCACTCAATGTTGTTATTACCATTTAAAGCAAAACAAGATCCATTTAGTAGCTAGTAGCTAGTCATCATATCATGTGATCATCTTCAGGGGAACCTTTTGGACCTCAACTTCAAAATCATCTTCACACACACACACACACACACACACAATATGTAAACACAGTCTCTCCAGGAACATAAAACACAGTATTTTCAGTGAATATTGATGGATATTGAACTTTTATGTCATAAATTGAACAAAAATAGAAACATCATTGGCTTTGTTGCCAAGCAAGCTAATGTTAGCAGTAATGTTAGCTTTGACTTTGGACTCTGTGTTGGACTCTGCGTTGTGGTGGGTATCTGTCTTTTGTAGGCTTTAGTGGACTCCATAGTTTATTACATCCCTGCTCACCATTTTAACGGTAACAGTAGGTTCCAGTTTTTGTGAGGAGTCTCTTCTTTTCTGTTTCATTACAAATGGATCTGATTATAAAGAGTTCAGTCTGTGAAAAGTGTCCCGGGATAACTTCTGTTGTGATCTGGAGCTATACCAATAAAATTTACTGTAAAGATGGACATTTGAACACATCGTTAAGTCATTAATTACTGAATCATCTGATCTGAGTTGATCTCCTCTCTAATTCTTCAGCTGTGTGTATAAATGGATATAAAGTGTAAGTTCAGTCAGAGTTCATGACGGCGAGCAGGAAAGTGAGAAATGAAAGATCTGAATCAGTTCCACTCTCTGATATCTGCTGTTCTCAGCACCAAATGTTTCTGTCTCCTCGAGGCTGTCGAGACTCAACGTGTCAAATCTGTCCGACTGTTAAGAAACATCTGTCTGAAAGCAGAACGGCTCTGCTAGAGGAGTTGAGTGAGACCTCTTCACTCCACAACCAGCTGTGACATCATCTGAACCACTCTTCATCCTCATCATATCCCGACTAAAAGATTTGTAGCTGCTGACTAGCTAGCCTTTCACAGATGTCATGCTATCGCGCTAAGCTAGTTCTGTTTTACAACCGACACTGTACAGAGTTTTTGTTTTGTTTTGTCTTGAACACCTGTTCTTCAGGTGCATCCAGGTGTTCAGTTTCTCAGTGTCTGCAGTGTGCTGGCAGCTCTTCAGTCTTTAACTCTCGCTGTCGGATTTCTGTCTCTTGTTGGACCAGATTTAAACCATTAGTGTAATTCCAGCAGCCGGAGCCAAGTGACTGATCAATATTTGTAATTATGTGGGAGATAATTAGCCCGTTTCTATTACCACAACAAGCAAGAAATATACTTTCACTCTCCAGTACAAACCTCCGTCCTCCATCAGACTGGCTTTATCTGCAGTTGGATTTATAACGCAGACAAAACCTTTTAACAACGTGTAAAAAAAACCCAACAACCTGATTGTCACATTAAAGCTCTTCTCACAGTCTGAGATTAAACAGTCATTACACAAATCACTAAACCATATACATATTCATAGACCCAGTATAGAGTCGGTGTGTAGAGGTGAAACCAGTGCAACAGCTGTCCTCATTCGTTTCTCTGTGAATCATTCATGGCGTTTCGTCATGGTGACCTGACTACTATGATGTTAATGGAGGGGGCGTGTCAGCCTTCAGCCCTTTTCGTGTCTCTTCACATTTCCATTTGAGTCAGTCAGCTGGTCCTCAGAGACCATTAATGAGGGTCAGAGTCCTGCTCAAGGACTTCACAGTTCAGCAGACTCGATCTTTAAATACAGACGTTGGTACACGTCAGAACATCTTAACAACGATCAGTCGGCCCTCAAATGTCGTGGACATGTTTCCATCACGCGTCTCAGTCCTAACTGTGACATCTCTGGTCCTGAAAGTGTCTCAAATCTCTTTAAATCAATAATCTATAAACAATAAACTGTGTATAAACTCTGTTCTATTTGTAGTTGATTAAATCAATAATCTATCATCAGTGGTGTCATATCCCCTTTGTGCCCGCGTCAGCGTTGTGGTTGTCTGCCAGAAGCTGTCATACAATGACTGTTTATCCAGTTTGAAGCCACATTTTTACCATCCACTGTTTTGATCTTGGTGCTTTTTAACTCTAGATTTGAACCGGATGAAGTATTGTAGTCATCGGATGTGTGGATCTTAAGTTATCAATTCAATTCAATTCAATTCAATTTTATTTGTATAGCGCCAATTCATAACAAAAGTTATCTCAGGACAGTTTTTAAATAGAGCAGGTCTAGACCGAACTCATTATAACATTATTTACAGAGACCCAACAGTACCACCATGAGCAAGCACTTGGCGACACGGGCAAGGAAAAACTGCCTGTTAAAAGGCAGAAACCTAGGACAGATCCTTCGGCTCTAGGTGGATGGTCGTCTGTCTCAACCAAAGAGAGAGAGAGAGAGAGAGAAACAACAGTATTGTTATTAAAGAAGTTGTTCCCTTAATTGGCACTTCTTTACTGGATATGATTAATCTTTCTTTTTTATCAGGATATGTACCACAATCCTTTAAAGTAGCTGTAATTAAACCCCTTCTTAAAAAGCCCACTCTTGACCCAGGGGTTTTAGCCAACTATAGACCGATTTCTAACCTCCCCTTCCTCTCTAAGATTCTGGAGAAGGTAGTCGCCAAGGAGTTGTGTGACTTTCTACATAACAATAGTTTACTTGAGGATTTTCAGTCAGGATTTAGAGTTCATCATAGCACAGAGACAGCTCTGGTTAAAGTTAATAATGACCTTCTGATTGCTTCTGACAATGGACTTGTCTCTGTACTTGTATTATTAGATCTTAGTGCTGCATTTGACACCATTGACCATAATATTCTTTTACAGAGACTTGAGCATCAAATTGGCATCAAAGGAACCGCACTAAGCTGGTTTAAGTCATATTTATCAGATCGTTCACAGTTTGTACATGTTAACGATGAATCTTCAATAAATACTACACTTAGTCATGGAGTTCCACAAGGTTCTGTACTTGGACCAATACTATTTACTCTATATATGCTCAGTTTAGGCAACATTATTAGGAATCACTCCATTAACTTTCACTGTTATGCAGATGATACGCAGTTATATCTATCGATCAAGCCCGATGAAATTAATCAATTATCTAAAATACAAACATGTCTTAAGGACATAAAATCCTGGATGAGCTGCAATTTCTGATGTTAAACTCAGAAAAACGAAATTCTTGTACTTGGACCCAAAAACCTTAGAGACTCACTGTCTAAAGATATAGTTACTCTAGATGGCATTACCTTGGCCTCTAGCACCACTGTCAGGAATCTTGGAGTTATCTTTGATTAGGATTTGTCTTTTAACTCCCACATGAAGCAGACCTCTAGGACTGCCTTCTTTCATTTATGTAATATTACAAAAATTAGACATCACAGACAGATGCAGAAAAACTAATCCATGCATTTGTTACTTCAAGGCTGGATTACTGCAACTCTTTATTATCAGGTTGCCCCAATAAGTCCATTAAAATGCTCCAGTTAATTCAGAACGCTGCAGCACGAGTACGGACAGGAACTAGAAAAAGAGATCACATCTCTCCTGTACTAGCTTCTGTGCATTGGCTCCCTGTAAAATGTAGAATAGAATTTAAAATCCTCCTCCTCACCTATAAAGCTCTTCATGGTCAGGCCCCTTCATATCTTAAAGAGCTCATAGTACCCTATTACCCCTCTAGAACACTACGTTCTCTGAATGCTGGGCTACTTGTGGTTCCTATAGTCTCTAAAAGTAGAACAGGAGCCAGAGCCTTCAGTTACCAAGCTCCTCTCCTGTGGAACCAGCTTCCAGTTGTGGTTCGGGAGGCAGACACCCTCACCACATTCAAGAGTAGGCTTAAGACATTCCTCTTTGATAAAGCTTATAGTTAGGGCTGGATCAGGTGAGTCCTGAACCATCCCTTAGTTATGCTGCTATAGGCCTAGACTATTGGGGGATTTCCCATGGTGCACTGAGCTCCTCTCTTCCTCTCTCTTTCTGCACTCATTCATGTTCCCTTAATGCATGTTACTAACTTCACTTCTTCACCGGAGTTCTTGTGCTTTCTCGTCTCGCAGGTTCTTATCGATTCTGGTGGAGCCTCCTGCCATGGTCCTGTTAGATTGCCATTGCCAATACTGTTGTTGCTGTGCGCTCCTGCCCCCCACCAGCCGCTCTTACCCCCCTCCCTACTTCGCGTCTCTCTATATTAAAAATTGTCTAGACCTACTGTATTTGAAAAGTGTCCTGAGATAACTTCTGTTATGAATTGGCGCTATACAAATAAAATTGAATTGAATTATATTTACGTCTATCTTTAGCCAGCAGTTTTAAATATGATTCAATATCGTCCGCTCTGGCCCCGGGATACATTTAACATTCAGTGTTTTTAGTGGTTTTAATCAGCAGGTCTGTTTGTTTTGGAGAGGAGGAGACCTCTGTGGATAATTGGGCTCCCGGTAGAAACCTCCTGAACCATGAACACTGAAGGAATCCTAACTGGGAGAAGACGCCAATGGTGGTGAAGATAACAACTACCATGATCCTATGCTTCTTCACCACATCATCACACTTCATCTTTTGTTGTTTGACACCTCCTATTGGCAAAATGTTATCTACAGATACAGACTGTACTGATGATATTTGTCGTCTTAAAATGTAATTGACGATAAACAATGAAAATTAGCTATATAAAACGAGCAGAAAGGAAAAGTTTCGGAATGATATTCGTTTTTGTTTTCAGGGTGTAGTGATTCCAGGAAATTTGCAAATGGTGAACTGGATGTAAAATAAGACTGAAGTCCTAGCAGCAGGGCAGGAAGGGTTAAAGCACCGTGAGAGGGTGTAAAGAACTCATCGGGGATCATTGGAGTGTTTAATCGTCTGCAGCGCTTTCACTTATTACTGCAAACATCGTCCTCTTCCTCCTGTGTCTTGTCGTCTGAAATTGATCCTCGAGGTAATCTGAGGGAAATTAATTTGAGAAGTCCCCAGAAGGGAAGTTGGAGTGAGTGGGCTGAGGCTGGGGGCTGCCGGCAGTAGAACAGGAACTGTTGGTATTGTGGAGTGATTTTCTGCAAGGACTGAAGGTTGTCAGTAAATTGACTCCCACATGTTTCCTCGCTGTGATTTGGAGCGTTTGTTGGTGTGAAATGAGTCTGGCAGAGCGTCACCTCGTCAGCGTGGTGGCTGATTTACTGATTGAAGGCAGAGCAGAGAGCCGCTCTTTCTTTGTGTCTTCCTTCTGATAAGCTGCAAATCAAGAGTTGTTTCTGGTGAAAGAATGAAAATGTTTTTACAGATTGAAGAGAGGCTCAGCCGACGCAAGCTTTCTTTTGGTTTAGATCAGTCACTGCACATTTCTACATCTAATCTTCTCAACATCAGGATTTACGTGCTTCTTTCAGACACGTTGTGACGTCACCTGCAGTCGGTGTTTCATTACTGCGATTAAGGCGACGGGCCTAACTCCTTCAGAAGAACACAAAGAGCTGCTTCAATATTTTACTGAAATCAGAAGTAGGGCAGCTTTAATATTTAACACGTAATGAAGTACACATCCAGTTTGTGATCAGAGAACAGTTCCACTTTAGATCTT